CTTTGCAGGTGATATCCTCCCCCGCCCCCCAACAAAAGAAAGAGTTCCCAACAATTGAGATGGGCAACACCAGTCCTTGAAGAAAAAAATTTTTTTAGAAGTTCAAACAAAAATGCAAAGGCACTTACACATGAAAACAAAGAAGCTCCAAATCCCAGCAAGCTCATCAAGCAAGCAGGCCAGAACGAGGAGAAGTAGCACTTGCGGCCCATCAAGTGGGCAGCAAAGATGAGCTCACTCCCTTGCCCGTTGGCACTGGGTGTGGAGCCCTGCCCCTCGGGGCGGTACCTGGCAAAACTATCCAATCATTTACTCTTTGGCCCTTTATCCCAATCCCAAAGAGAAATTGCAGACATGTAAAATATACACAAGGTTCTTTCTTGAGGCACCAATTCTATCAGCAAAAGATTCAACACAAACCAAAAGCCAACAGGCAACACTCAAATGGTGTTTCAGCCACAGACACCATGGTTAGCAGCAACAGGAAACGGATGATCACTCACTTCACATTTGACTATGTCAGCATCTCTGGATGTGCTGCAGGAGCAAGGCCAGGGGCAAAGCTATGATTGTGTCATTTGCTACTTCCTAAACAGCAGTGGAAGGTGAACATATAAGTTTATGTATATGTGTTTATTCTCATGGAAGAAATATGAAAAGGGAAAAAATGAAACCCCCAAATTAACAAAGGAGCAAAAGAAGCCTTGCTTGTGTGACAAGCAGGTGACAGCCACGGAGAAGGGGATTACCAGGACTGTTCATCCCTTCGTGCGTTAACCAACCACACAGCGCCTTAAAGGTCCAGTGACTTACGTTCCTACTCGTGTAGTTCCTGGGGAATTTCTTATAGGTGCATTACATTATGTTCACATGATTAAGAAACAGATTTTCAGGGAAAAAAGGCATAAAAATACATATAATCTTACATTGGAATTGGAAATGTCAGTATGGATATATGAATTTTTTTCCCTTCTTGAAAAGTTTTTTCTGTCCTTGCAAAAGAACAGAGCATACTCCAGACCCTGCACGAGGGTCTTTGAAGCCACTTCCTAACCGGACGGCAGGTGAAGGGCTTCACTCCACAGTTCCACAGCATTAGGCGACTCCTTTGTACCCTCGGTGAAGCAATGAATCAAGGCAATGTTAGCAGGAGAGGCTAAACCACTCAAGCTTCACCTCCAGTTCAAAACCAGGAGGTTAACAGGGACATTTCTCATGGTGGGACTGGACCGCTCTCCCTCTCCTAAGCCCACTGACAGACCTTAGGAATTCAAGTGGACAGACATGTGCCTGATGGAAGTGCACTGCTCCACCAGGAAGTATTCGTGCCTCTAAACCTAGCTACCAGTGTGCAGGGAATACGGGGGACAGAGGCCAAGGCCAATGGCAGCAGCAGGATGCCGTCACATGAAGCTCTATGTAGAGCGTAGAGGGTCCATCTTCCAGTTTGTTTACCACAAAAGGGAGGGAGAAGAATGGCACTGAACTCATCAGAGACACACTGAGATGTGTCACAGTGACACGGTGTCCAGTGGGTTCTTCGTATTCTAGGGAAAAGAAAAGGTGGAGTAGATGAGGTAAGACTGACAAGCTGACAGAAGTTCCTAAAACTGGAGGGGTCACGTAGAGGTCACCATACTCCATACTTCAGTGAAAAACATCGACAGCAAGACAGACGGACGCACGCAGCCGCACAGCCAGCCCTGACCCCTCGCTGCTCTGCTTGCAGGTGCCCATCTTCATCCCCATCCTGGTGACCTTCATAGCTGCGTTTTTGGTCCTGGCCCCAGTCATCACTAACCCAGCGTGGGAGTATCTCTACTGCGTGTTATTTATCCTGAGCGGCCTTGTATTTTACTTCCTTTTCGTCTACTACAAGTTTGAATGGGCTCAGAAAATCTCAAGTATCACATCAGGTGGTTCCGCTATGAAAGCACAGAGCTGCAGCGCCCCACAGTGCACCACCGCCCCCGGCTGAACACCTCCGGGCCCGTCCTGGGCCGCCTGTTTCCATCACTTCGCCTGCCAGACAGGAAGGGAAAGCAAAGCATTTTAAACAGAATCTTAGGGAGGGGGGCGGGGGCGGGGGCATGGGGAGGGGGGAGAGGGAGCAGGGAAAGGGAGGAGAGGGAGGAGAGGGGAGAGAGGGGAGGGGAGACAGGGAGACAGCTCCCATCTGCTGCCTCACTGTCCAGGCCTCCCTTGTTGACACGGTCGCGTCTGCCTCCCACGGTCTGTGTGAGCAGGAAACTGGCCTCAGAAGCCAGAGCCTGAACCCAGCCACTCCCGTGTGGGACACGGGGTCCTGACTGCTAGGCTAAACACCTGTCCCTCATTTCCTTTTTAACTTAAAATACCTGTAAGCTTAGATGGCCACCGTGACCTCTGATGAGTGCGGTTCACTAGTGTTAAGTATGTTTATCTTCAGCGCACCACGTTCCTCTGCCTGACACACACGCGTACCAGCTAAGAGCTCACTGGCACGCCAGTCGCTCAGTGACAGAGCCAGGGCTGGGAGAGTGACAAGGCCTGTGCTGCCGCAGGTCTCTCCTCCATCCGGCAGTCATTTGCATCTGTTTTTAAAAAAGACAACTATTTATTTTTATTAAATGTATTCTACCTTTCACTTATTTGAAAGGCAGAAAGAGATCTTCCTTCTTCTGGTTTGCTCTCCAAATGCCCACAACTGGGGCTGGGCCAGGCCAAAGCCAGGAGCCGGGAACTCCGTGTGGCTCTCCCACACGGGGTGGCAGGGACTCAGGTTCTTGAGCCACCATTTGCTCCCACCCAGCATGTGCGTTGTTAGCTGGGAGCTGGATGGGAAGTGGAGCAAGGACGCAGGCCCAGGCACTCCAGTATGGGATGCAGGTCTCTCCAGTGGCATCTTAATCATGGTACCAAGTGCCTGCCCTCAACTGTTGTCTACAAGTTTAGCTGCATAAGCCACTTTCACACCTAAAGTCCACTTGTGCCAAAGACGCCTCTGAGACTGAATTACACTTCTTTTCTTTACTTCAGTGCTATATTCATAAGTTGTAAACTGCACAACAAATTGAAGTGCACCAACCCTCCTCATCAAAGCCTTCCCAGGCTCCCGAGCACCCCCAGCAGGGCCTGCCTCCTGCTCTGTAAGCTCCCTGAAGACAGGAAGTGGGCTGTGTACGATGTAATCCCAGCAGTGTCTGGCCTGTCACAGCCCCGTGGTGTTACTGAGTCCTGTGGCCGAAAACCTGCCCGCTGCTCAGTTTCTCACCAGCAAGGCGCAGCCTGCCCTGCAGGCACTCCTGTGCGTGCCATTTATAGACCACACACACAGGGGGGACAGCCAGGGGATGACCAGTAGAACCCGACCAGAGGGCCAGCAGAGACCTGGGCTTCAGACCCTGCCAGCCAGGACTGAGAATGCCTGAGCACGCTGGGTCCTCTCCACCTCCACTTCCTGGGCCATGAGATCGGTGCCGTTACTGACCTGACAGTGGCGAGAGAAAAGAGTGAAACAGCAGCAACATATTGTTATTTCCACCAGGCACTTGTCTCCTTCCTGAAACAGCCCCTCCCCCCGTCTCTACTCTGACCTCAACCCTGTGCTGGGAAGGAGTGAGGTTGTGGGCACTCCTACAGAAGGGAAAGGAAATAAGGAAATGCATTCGTGTGAGAGGAAACAGCCTTCCGGCCCACGTTGTGGGTGCAGCGGGAAAAGCTGCCACCTTTGATGGCAGCATCCCGTGTGGGCACTGGCTCCTGGCCTGGCTGCTCCACTTCTGATCCAGCTCCCTGCCAGTGGCCTGGGAAAAGCAGAAGATGCCACCCATGTGGGGACTTGACCGAATCCTGGCCGTTGTGGCCATATGGGCAGTGAACCAGCAGATAGCTCTAATTCTAACTTTCAAATAAATAAGGAAATCTTAAAAAAAAACAAAAAAACAAAAAAACTTGGATTTGATCATGGCAACAGATAATCTGGCCAGGATGACGGAAGCAGGCTTTGGAAGCCCACGACACTAAATAGATCTTGTTTCTCAGCTCTAGAAGATTCAGCAAGCTGCTGCCTACAGAAGTTGGTAGAAGTTGGGTTAAGGTGGTGAAAACCAATGAGTGATCTTACACTTTAAATAAACAGAAGTCCTAGTGACTTAGACACTGGTAGTAAGTATATGTGTAACTTAGTTTTCCTAGAGTGTGCATTGGTTAGTGGCAGTTAAATACTTGGCAGCTTCCTAATTCCTTAATGGAAACAGCTCGCTCCAAAGCCCCAGCGTGGCTCCGGGGACAGCCGTCCGTGGGCACGCACGCTCCGCTAACCAACCACCTGCCCGCTGCTTGTGTTCCAGAGCCCATCACCATGCACCTCCAGATGCTCATGGAAGTTGTGCCGCCGGAGCCAGACCCCAAGTGACAAGTTTGTGTCTTGTAACCAACTCAACGCTGTGAGGAGTTTATTTTTGTAAGCAGTATTTGTGGTATTTCTTCCTGATTTTTTTCTTAAGAAGAATTGTATCAGATGCTTATGTAATATTATTTTTTGGTATCCTTAATTGTCTGGGTGGGTTCCAGGCGTGTACGGTGACCCCGGCAGGTGCAGCCACGGCCCAGCGGCTGCTGTGTGCTTGCCCGAGGGACACAACACGCTCCCGCGAATAAAGCGCATCCTGCATCGCCGCCAGCGATGTGTGTGCCTCTGCAGGCCTCGGGGCTTCCGCTTCCGCTGACGGGGCGTTGCAGGCAGGCAGGCGGGCGGGCAGGCGGGCAGGCGGGCCCGTGCTTTACCGCCTGCTCTCCTCGCTGCTCAGACGCCGCCGCCTCTGTCTTGAGCCAGCAAAGGGCCCGGCCGGGCCACGTCAGGCTGCAGGAGGCAGCCCCGGCGCAGAGCCGCCCTCGCGCTCGCAGGTCCGTGCCCCCGAACCCCCAGCAGCCCTCTCTGGCCTCCTGGGCCAGGCAGAAGGGGCCGCGAGTGGGATCTGATGTTGCAGGGGCACGCGGGAGGAAACACGTGGGACACGTTTCGGTCAGAACACAGAAGCTTTATTGCTAACACAACAGACGCCCCCAACCCATGACTGCGCACAACCTCAGAAGCCACGACAAAGGTGCTTTCCCCTTGCGCCTGAGAAATCACTCAACGCATGAAATCAGTACAGACGCTACAGCGGTACAGGAAGGCGGTGACCACGTGCTCACAGACATCAGGAAAAGCTGAACGTCTGAACAAAGAAACAGGTTTAAACCCAGCCGCTGCCTGCCCAGGGCTTTCACGCGGCCGACTGAGCCGCACGGGGGAGCTGGCCTGCAGTCTCTTCTCGGACGGCAGGGCCCCCACCGCTTGGCTGGGACACAGACAGCAAAAAAAAACCCTTGCCGACCCAACCCAAGCCTGTGCCATGGTGAGCACAGGACACGGCGCGGGGCCTCTGTCCACCACGACCCCGCCTGCAGCAGCTGAGACAGGAGGCACCCCGCGGAGTCAACAGCTTCACCAGCCAAGACACCGCAGCCTCTGCGTCCTCAGAGCCTGTCCCACCGGCCGAGAACAAGGAAACCACCCCTCCCTTCCTGACCGGTCTGCCTCCTGCCACCTGCAGTCCCCGTGAGAGGCGCAGCAGCAAGGCACTGCCCCCAGAGCCCCCACGCAGAGCACGCGCCGGCTCTGGCTCTGCACAGGCTCCCCGAGGTGGGCAGGGCCTCGCTTTACAGATAAGGAAACTGAGGGCCAGAGTATGACCCAAGGCCGCTCACCGGACCACGTGCGCTCAGGCGTCTGCGCTCCGGGACGTAAAGAACCAAGATCTCCGTGCAGCTGCGATGGGCCAACGCGTTTCCCACTCAGCTGCTGCCGAGGAAGTCCAGGGGGCCTCACGGTTCCCAACAGCTCACCTTAAACCTTCCCCATGAGCAGAGAAGCCCGCAGCAGAGGGGCGGCCCACAATTCTTCCCAGACCTCGGTGTGCTGCAGCCTTCCCCCAGGACGAGGCCGTCATCACGGCAGGTGTTCTGAGTCCCCTCTGGGCACCACGCAGGTCCTTGAAAGTTTCTGCCACAAAAGAACCTGGGAGCGCAGGTCACTCGGAAGCAGCAGCCGCCTCTCCAGAGGGCGCTGGGCCTGCCAGCAGGCACTGTGCGGCCCCCGGCACTCACCCCGGCTCCGAGGCAACCCACTCGGAGGAGCCGGGGTGGGTATCGGTAGTGCTCGGAGGCAGCTATGGCGACCCCCGCGAGGCCGCTGCAGAGGGCGACGGGCAGGTCCGAGGCTGTTCAGCACAGCAGGGGAGAGCAGCGAGTGGCCGACTCGGGCCTGCACGTTCCTCACCGAGTGGCAGGGTCTGCGCTGCCACTCAGAGCTGAGTGCGTCAGGACGAGCTGAGGCGACGGCTGTGCCAGGCAGCACAGCCAGGCCAGGAGGGCCAGCGCGCTGCTCCTCTGCTCCCACCCTCCTGACAACCTTCTCATAGCAACCACGGTTTAAAATTTATTTGAAAGGCAGAGTGACAGCCCTGGGGCAGAAAGAGAGGGAAAGAGAGAGAGAAAGAGAGAGGAGAGAGTATCTTCCATCTGCTGGTTCATTCCACAAATGGCCACAACAGCCAGGGATGGGCCAGATGGAAACCAAGAGCCCAGGACTCCATCCCACGTGGGTGGCAGGGGCCCAAGTACCCACGGTACTTTGCTGCCTTCCCAGGAGCATTAGCAGGGAGCTGGATTAGAAGTAGAACAGCCAGGATTGGAACCAGCATTCATATGGGACGTCAGTGTCGCAGGCGGAGGCCCAACCTGCTGCGCCACAATGCTGGTCTTATCAGCCTGTTTTTAACTGACCAGGAAATCTGTCACCATTACCAATCCTGAAGCATAAGATGACCCTTGGCAATAATTCCTCCTTGAGGTGAAAGACGGTTTGGGTAGCATCACTTGTTTTCTTAACTTCCAACACACGGCCACAGCCATGGTTGTTCCAAGTCTCGGGCTGCCGGCGGGACTTCAGTCTCACTCACTCTCACTCCCGTCAGCCTCCGAAGCGCTGCTGCTGGGTCCGACCACCTCTGCCACTTTGCAGGGCAGCCTCTTAGAAGTCACAGCTGCAAGAGTGAGGCATCATCAGAAACATGCTGAATGCGTGGTAAGGAGCGAATCTGTCCCCCACCCAAAGATGTGCCTTTGCCTCTAGCTCCACCTTGCGGCTAATTTTATATTTTCATTATTTTAGGCAAGAAACGAGGAGGTCTGCTTGTAAGTAAGTTATTCTAGGGAAGAGAATCTGTAAAAGTGTTGTAAGAAGGTTATGTTTTTAACCAAAGGTCAGCAAGTCCCCAGACTGGAACACTCAGCACCAGGACACCATAAAGAGAACACTGACCTCTGAAGGCTGGCTTTATTAACGGCCCATTTCCATAAAGGTGGGATCCCTAAAGTCAGCTGAGGGATATGTCCACGCCGGCATGCAGGGCCCCAGCCCCTCCAGGGAGTGGGTGCCCAGGTCCTACCCTTGGAGAAGTGGCTGTCCTCTTCACACTCTTCCCAGTGGTCAAAATCAAAAGCCACATTCGGATTCTGTCCAACAGAACAGCTGCCGTAAGTGAACACAGAGTCACCCTCGGAGCCACGGCCGCCAGCCTCCGTCACCGGCACTCACCCTGTGTCTGAGCAGGCCGCGCCACGGCTCCCTTCTCTCTTTCGCCAGAGTAATCACGGGCTCGTCGTTTCTGATGACGCACCTGCAGCTGTCTTTTCTGATGCTGCCCTGCAGCTCCAAATCAGCTCTGTAGAACTTGTCTCCCACCCAGGCGCTAGGAGAGAGAACCCAGTCAGCCTTTCCGGAGCCACGGCCAGTCCTGTGGCCCAGCACACGGCGCATATCAACCTACCTGAAAACGACCCTGTCTCGGAAGTATTTACATCTGTAATCCTTGACATTCCTTACTTGTATCTTCAAGATGACAACATCGTCTTTCTGGAACCATTTTATTTGTGGATGGAAGCTAGGAGGAAAGAGGAGGCCTTTAGCGCGCATTGTTTATCCAGTGTTAGGAGAGGCGGGCCTCCGAGCGCTGACCACTGTACCTTTTCACGTGTGGCTGTGGGGGCTTGCTGATGGGGGCGTCTCCAGTGTTTGCAGACAACGTTTCTGTGGGAAATCAAAGTCAGATTTTTACAGGTTGTTTATATGCACCTCTGTAACGAACATATGCATTTGCACCGATACAACCTTTAGATGAGGAATTAGTCACTAAAGAGTGTGACTGCGACAGTGACCCGAGCATCCACCTGAAAACAGAGTTGGTGCTCTGTATTTGTGGGCTGTACATCTGCAGATTAAACCAACCACAGATTGAAATATTTTTTTTTTGACAGGCAGAGTGGACAGTGAGCGAGAGATCCTTTGCTGTTGGTTCACCCTCCAATGGCCCCCACGGCCGGCCGCCACGGCTGGCACACTGTGCTGATCTGATGGCAGGAGCCAGGTGCTTCTCCTGGTCTCCCATGGGGTGCAGGGCCCAAGCACTTGGGCCATCCTCCACTGCACTCCCTGGCCACAGCAGAGAGCTGGCCTGGAAGAGGGGCAACCGGGACAGAATCCGGCGCCCCGACCGGGACTAGAACCCGGTGTGCTGGCGCCACTAGGTGGAGCATTAGCCTAGTGAGCCGCAGCGCCGGCCAGATTGAAATTTTTTTTTTTTTTTTGACAGGCAGAGTGGACAGTGAGAGAGAGAGAGACAGAGAGACAGATTGAAATATTTTTAAAAAATCAACTGAGTCTATAAGCATGTATAGGTTTGTTTCCCTGTCATTATCCCCTAAACAACACAGTAGGGCTATTTACATGGCATTTACACTGTATCAGTACTTAAATTGCCCAGGAAGGCGTGGGCGCTTGGCCTACTGCTCAGGATACTGGAGTGCGTGGGTTCAGTGTCTAGCTCCCTGCTGTTGCAGGCCCTGGAAGGCAGTAGTGACAGTTCAAGTAACTGGGTTCCTGCTGCCCACGTGGCTGATACGCACTGTGTTCTCAGCTCCAGGCCTGGGCCCTGGCAACTATGGGCATCTGAGGAGCGAACCAGTATACGGGAACTCTCTCAAGTAAATAAACCAATAAAATAATAAAAATAGAGTACTTGGAAGTGTGTAGGCTCTATGCAAACAGGATACCATTTTCTACACGGGACTTGAGTATCTGGTTCTGGCATCCACGTGGAGGCCTAGAACCAGTCCCCTACAGATACTGAGGGACGGTGATAATCCTGAAAAATTAAAATATACATCATTTCATAAGATTAACATGTTGTCAAAATAGAACAGGCTCTGACAAATACTAAAACTAAACCACCAGGAACTTCACGTTCCTCTTTTGATGAGAACCTGCACTACAACTGCCGGCCACAGGACACATCTAAGTTCCTTCAGTGCTGTCCTAACCCAGCAGGACCCCACGCGAGGTGACTTCCACGCAGTCAGCGCACAGGAGCAGGTGCCGAACACCGTATTTCCTGAGTCTCCATCGACGAGGTGCGGGGCTGCTGTCCCAACTGGAACAACGATGGGCCCATCAGCCCTCATCACAGCAGCGCCGTGGAGAAGCGCGAAGCCGGGGTGCAGGTGACTGCAGAACACAGCTGAGTTTAAAACAGACCTCCCACCACGCGCCGTGCTGTGCCAGACACCAACTTCAGAGTCACGCTGTCCCGAACGGAGCCACAGTGCACACTGCGCACCCCGAGTTGGCAGCACTGGCGGTGACAGAGCAGGGGTCACCGGGCACGTTCCCAAACCAGCAGCTGATGGCGCGTGGCTAGCAGACATGACTACACATAAACACGGATGAGCTGTTCACGCAACACTGCGAACCCCCTGAATCCCTGTCCTACCTCAAGTAACCAAAGGGAGACGGCGCAAACAAACCCGAGAGCTGAGCTGGCGAGCGCAGGAAAGGGCACGGCAGTCTGCGGCGGCTCTGGACTCCCCCGAGGTGGAAGGGCGTCGCCTTCCGACACAGCCGAGACCAGAAGTCGGCCATCCTGGGACCGAGCACTCACCTGGCTTTGGGTCTTCTGCGCTTGTCTCCGCGTCCGCGCCGCCTTCTGCGCCACCGGCCCCCTGCTGGGAGTGCAGACTGGCAGCATCCTCTGGCGAAGGCGCGGTCCTGGGCGGGAGAGGCACAGGTTAGCCCCGGGGACTTCGGGGGACGCTCGGGCACCCCGGCTCTACAGGAAGAGGACGCCAGGCGTCGCTCACCACAGACGCCTCAGAGCTCCCTCTCACGTGACCAGGGCAGGGCTGGCACACACGCGAGACTTTTCCTTCCACAGTCACTGAACGGTGAGAAGGGCATCCACACAACCACCCACTTCCAACAGGATAAAAGGGCAGAAAGGAGAGGCCACGTTCCCTTCCGCTCTTGGCCCAGTCTCGGGCAATCTTCCGAGACCACCTGTTAGCAGTTCTGGTCTGCTTCTAACATACTCTTTGCAATAATAAGTAAACAGCACAGTGACTAGGATGCCACTTGAGATACCCACAATCCATACGGAGCGCCTGGGTATGTACTCAACCAAAAGATCTACACAGACTGGGGCCAGCACCATGGTGTAATGGGTTAAACCACCACTTGTAGTGCCAGTATCCCACAAGCGTGCTGGTTTGGGTCCTGGCTGCTCCACCTATGATCCAGTTCCCTGCTAACACACCTAGGAAAGCAGAAGATGGCCCACACATGAGAGACCCTAATGAAGCTCCTGGCTTTGGCCTGGCCCAGCCCTGGCTGTTGCAGCCATTTGGGGAGTGAACCAGCAGATGAAGATCTCTCTCCCTCCTCTCCCGCTCTCACTCTTGCTCTCTCTCCAACTCTGCCTTTCAGATAAATAAATGAATCCTCACATACACACAAAAAACACACACACACACAATTTAAAAATTTTTAAAGGAAGAGGCAGACCTCTCTCTATGTTCTGATAAGTCTCAGTGGTCAGGTATGGCACTGGTGCTTAGGCAGGTGGACCTTGGACGTTGAAAATACAGCAGAGTAAATACCGTACTGGGAAGGGGGAAGAGAATACATGATGACGCAAGAGAAATCAGATTAAGACAACGTCTTTCTACTTAAACCACACACACACGGGACCTGCTAAACCTGAAGGGCTGCCCTTGTTTCACTTATTATTTGTTCCTTTTTCTTTTTTTTTTAAATATGAGAGAAAGAGAGAGGGAGAAACAGAGAAAGAGAGCTCCCATCTGCTGGTTCTCTCCAAATGCCTGCAACAGCTGGGACTGAGTCAAGCTGAAACCAGGACCCCAGAACTCCATCTAGGTCTCCCACGGGTGGCAGGAACTAAGCACTTGAGACATCCCTGCTGCCGCCCAGGGTGCGCGTTAGCAGGCAGCTGGAACTGGGAGCAGGGCTGGGACGCAAACCAGGCATTGCAGTATGGAGTGCACGTGTCCCACGCGCCAGCCCCTGCCCCGGTTTCACTGTCCTTATAACTAGCTAGAGTGAATTAGTGTGGATGCGCTTTTCTGGTTTCCTGAAAATGTACAGAAACTAACTTGTATCCTAATCCCATGGTACCCAGTTTTGTTAAGGTACAAAACAAAAAACTTCAGAATGTAGTACTTAATCTTTGCCCCATTCTCTTAAAATTCCTCTACTTTCAGCAGCCGTTTAGAACTCTCCCAGGGTCACCAATGACCCCATCACCAAGCCAGTGGCCAATTTCTCTGTGCTCGTTTGGTGTGGGCTGCACGCGGCACAGCTTCCAGCCGCTGTGGCAAGCGCTTCCTTGGCTGGCACCCAGGACAGATGGACATGCTGCATGGGCTAGAGGAGAGGCCGGCTGAGGCTCTGGGCAACGCGGGCGCTCACCAGTGGCTGTTCAGGGGAACTCCAAGTCGCACGCACAGAGGCAAGATGCACGCGCGAAGCACCCGGAGAGGACCCTCGTTCCGCCTGGGCTGATCCCGGGTGAGGGTGTGGAGAAACTGCACGCGTGCTTGCAGGAACGTGCAGCGGGCCTTCCTCCGGGAACTAACACAGGGTGACCAGACGACCCTGCGATTCCCTTTCTGAGCACATGCCCACAGAAGCGAAAGCAAGGACTCCGACAGACCCGTGTTCACATCAGCACGATTCACCTGCCGCTGAACAGGTAAACAGGCCGTCGCACCACCTACAGAGGAACTGTCTCAGCCTTGCAGCGGGCCCTGAGCCAGACACAAAGATCAAGCTACAGGGGTCTACAGAGACGAGCAGAGGGGAGGGGGAGGGCTCCCTGCCAGCAGGCAGTCTCTGCTTGGGAAGATGGCGGAGCTCTGGGGAGGGATGGTGGTGACGGGCACACACAACTGCGCTTGTACAAATGCCACCCCAGGACACCCTTAGAAACAGCCAAAATGGCACATTTCCCATTCTGCATATCCTTCCCACAATTTAAAAAACCACGTACTTTCAGACATTACTGTTAATTTTCTGAGATGGGAGACCAGCAGTCTAGTCAAATGTGAAAAGCCCTGTTGTTCTAGATCCCCAGCACTTCGTGTTTTCTTCCCCTCATTTCACCCTTCTGCTGGGTCCATGGCAGCACTGCTCACTGGGGCTTCACTCTGCATTTCCCCAAGCAGGGTGAGCAACTGCTCACACATCAGCTGGGGGCTGTGAGCGGGCCCTCCCCCCGGGGGGTCCCGACCAGCAGGAGCTCCTGCCCCAAATCCTCTGGCAGACACGGGCTGTGTCCCTCGTCCGCCTTCCCTCTGGGGGCTGCAGAGTACTTTCTCAGTCTCGAAACACTCCATACGGGGACATAAACGGCACAGCCCCTGTAACAGCTGGTGGGCTGCAGCGCCAATTCTAATCTATGAAAAATGGACCAGGAAGTGCACCCAAAGACACGCAGCAGAATGCTAACCGCTCCGTGGTAGCCCAGGGACTCTCGGCAGCACAGTGGGCAAAGCAGTGACGGTGTCCCCACACGGGAGCTGAGCCCCACACTGCCGCGCGCACAGGAGAGCCAGGATCACAACCGATGCGGAGGCACAAGGCAAACACGCTGCATGACCTGCTCCAAGGGCAACGTTCAGGATAACCCACCTCTGCCTTTCCGCGTCAGGAGACGGGCTCCTCGGGGGAGGGGCGCGGCCCGAGCCACGCTGTCCCCTTGGTCCCGGGCTGGCTCCCTTGGCTGCGCTCAGAAGCCCATCACACGGCAGCCGGGTGTGCGTGCACAGCACTACTTCTCAACAATCAGAAAAGGTAACAAAATTCCTTTCTGTAGGGGACACGGTGATGTCATGATCCCCCTCCAAAAGCAAGAGTGTGAGTGCGGGGAACCAATGGGACAAGACTGCTCAGACCTCGGTAATTAGGAAAGTTTGATGGGAACACGCGGATGCAAATTACTCCTTTCATAAAAAAAGCCCTCAACGCTGCGAGTTGTATTTCTACAAAACAGCTCCAACAAAGGACACAGAAATCAACTTACGGGGTCTGGGTTAGATGTTCTTCAAAAGCTGGCATTTTAGCTTCTTTGTATAATTTTTTCAGTCGTTCCACATGTGCTGAATTATCAACGCCCATTCCCATTGACAAAATTTCAGCTCGAACATTATAATCAATGACAGATGTTTTCAAATTTGAAAGTTTTGTAACATGCACCTTGAATCGAGAGAAAACAGAACATCTGCAGAGTCACACTTTGAATCCTAACCGAGTCAGGAACTCTCCCCGGGCCTCTCGGCCTGTCCCTGCAGCGCTGGTGCGCTCCGGCCGCTTCCACAGGGGCAAGGGCTCCCTGCGCACAGTGTGGACTGGGGCATAGCCAGGGCAGCCGAGACTCTTCCAAAGCCCAGGCCCGCCTGAAATACGGTCAGGTGTGGGATCGGCCCGAGATCCAGTCCCGGAGTAAAGTCCCCAGCCAGGCAGGAAACTGTTTTCCTGATTCTGCCTCTGTTTACAAGCAGGCCACTAAGGCCCCGAGTCCCCCTGTGTCCAGAAAGGACCCACACCACAGCACTCCCGTGTCTGGATTGCTTCCCCCACTGTCTCTTCTGCAATCAGCACATTCGAATCCATTTCAGCTTACAGAGAATTACGCAAAATATGAAAATCTGCAAGTCTCATGCCCGTGTGTCCCTCCCGTGGGGGATGAGGGGCGCTGGGCACCTTCCCAAGTGCGCCCTTAATTCTTATGCCCAAACTCCCCTTCTAATGTGTTAAAATTCTCCAAATCTTATAAAAGTAACTGTCAGCTAAACAGTTTCTAGAAACAGAATTAGAATTCCTTTCAAACTTAGAAATAATCATCCTAATTAAGACTTGGGTCTTATAGAGTGAAACTTTACATTGAAAACTGGAGCTCCTGGGGAGCATGCAGACCCGGGACGGCACCAGCAGCAGCAGAAGGGCAAAGAGGCCCTGGGAGGCCTGGCTCCTTGTCTGCCACTCCCACCCCCACCCCAGCTGGGCAGGGCAGGAGGCCCCATGGGCTTTGCTCAGGAGGAACCCAAGCATCCAGTATGGGTCCCAGTGCACAGGAGATTCTCAACACAGGATCTGCTGCCTGAACACGGGGGAAGTAACACACGGTAAACCCACCTCTGTAGGCCCCAGGGCCAGACTCCTTGGCACAACTCAGGCCCCCAGGGCCATTCGCAAGCCAGGGAAGACCAGCAACAGCCCCCCCCCCATCACTGACCAGGGCCTCACAGCATGTGGACAGTGCCCTGTGCCATCAGCTGAATGGTTCATGATCCACACTTGGAAAGATGAGACTGCAAATATTAGAGAAAGTGACATCAGCGAGGACGGTTTCATCCAGCTCCGCTCAGCTGTGTCTGAGTGTATGGGCACCACACATAAACACAGGTGCACGCTGGGTCACATCGAATACGCCCTACCCAGGAACCAAACCTCCAGCGAAACTCCTGACCCACAGAGCACAAGAAGCACCTCCGTTATTCAAGCAGCAGGTGGGACTAGTGGGTAATTGTAGGGGTCCGCTGAGAATCTTCTTTATAAGAAAGCGGCGTACTTACCATTGGGTCAACCCAAACTGTATTTCCCAGGGCCAGCATCACTTTTGCATCATGCAGTTTTCCAACAATTTTATTATGAATGTACCTAGTAACCTGAAAAAAAAAAAAAAAAGCACGTGACGTTGTTTACCCGAGGTTGAGCACCGTGTTCTGTGTGTACTGCACACTTCGCAAACGCGTCACTGGAGCCTGACAACCTCTGGGCTCACAAGGCCATCAGCCTCCTTTCCGTGAGGCAGACAGCAGAGGTTCACAAGAACAGAGTCACACGAGTGCAGGAGGCTGCCCGTGGCCCCGAGAACAGACAAGGCCCGTGCCCTTGGACGACCAGTCTTGTGTGTGCCCCCCGCCCCATGCCTTCTACCAGCTGTCAATGTGTCTGTGAGAGCTCAGCGAGGGGGAAGGAAGGGCAGGGAAGGCGGTGTCTGCTCCAGAGGCCGCCACGGGCGGTGACCACGGCCGAGGACCCAGGTCTCCTGTGTGCGTGCTCCTCTCGAGTCGGGGCTCACCTGTCCTGCGTATGTCACTTCTATGAAGCAGAACAGGAGGGAGCTGGCCCATCCGTGCTAGTCTCATCCCTCGTGAGCTCTGTGAATGGACTGCACAAACACCCAGAGGGAACTCTCCCCACGTCTGCACAAGGCTGCCCACGCCTGCTGTTCTGGGGACGAGAACCATGACCCCTCGCTGACAGCTGCCTCCCTCGGACCCGCACGGCACCGTGGCTCCCGGTGCACACTCGGTAAATGCTTATTAGAAGCAAGGGAGAAGACTGCTGTCTGATAAACACTGACGTCACTGAGCTCAAGCGCTGGGGCTGTGTATTCCTCCTGCGCTGTGGAAACACTCCCTCGCGTATTTCCCAGGCAGTGTTTAACCTTACTTATAACGCAAGCTTTTTATTTCGCCAATTCTAATGGCTTACTCCAGATCCCATTAATCAGAATGCAGAATGTAACCTTCCCTTTGTGGGCGTAAGAGTGGAATGAGGAGTCCAGGGACTAAAGTCAGCTGGGGCACGGCCCGAGCCGCGAAGACTGCCGCCCAGCTGTTCCTAGAAGACATGCCCTTTACAAAAGCTGAGCCGTGAGCAGGAGACTTCTGGACAGCAAGGAGTAAACTTTACTAAGCACTGGGCCACCGTCTAGGAGAGTGATTACACTGTCTGCCCCCCCAGCCGTGGGGCTGGGGTGGGGGCTCACTCCTTAATCAGTCGTCAAGTCTGTCATCTGCTCTCTGATACTTTCCCACTTTCAACGTGGTTGGCAACCGCACCTAAGTCTGTACTGTTTAAGAGTGGCTCAAAGCACGCACCCACCCTGTAAGGAAACGGTCAACCACAGCCAAACCCAGGCTGGTGGTGCAGCCGACTCAGGCAACCGACTGGTAGTCTGAGACCGGCCCACACCGAGCGTCAGGGGCATCGTTACGAGAGCACCTGGCTGCTCAGGTGCTGAGCGGGGCTGTGCCTAGCCTCTCTCCACCCCACCGTGGACGGACACACGGGGCCACGCAGGGCCACTCTTCTGTGCTCCATGTCCTGGCATGGGGAGACTTCTTGGCTGGCAGTGCCCCACCCATTCTAGTAGGTGACATCCTAGCAACCCACAGGGCCCAAAGGAAACACCACCCCCTTCAGAAGCATCTCTGGCCACCACCTCTCCTTCCTTGTCCCCCGGCCGTCACGTGAGTCGCTGGGCGTCTCCAGGCACGCCCATCGCCAGCATCAACACCCAAATCCACGGGGCCTCCGTTGTGTGTACTCTGGGCTAAAGAGGTCTCAGCAGCCGAGGCCGCTCACCTTCGGATTCCACTCCACTTCGTTATCTGCTGGCTTCACTCTACAAACCACGAACTCCACAGCCTGCGGCGGCAGCGTGCAGAACTGCTCCGGGAGGCGCCACAGCTGCTCTCTGGGGACGAGTCCAGTTCTGCCTTCGTCGACGAACCTCACCAGGACGCTGTTCAGGACACAAGTGTCTTCTTTCTGGCTCATCTCCAACACCTGAACCCTGGAGAGCAGCAGCGGCAGAAATTCCAGACACACAGAACTGTGGCCTCCGCTTGCCCGTTAAACGCAGAACCTAAAAAGACTCCTACGTTGCAGTTCTACCCTACACTGGAACTAAAACACGAGGGCTTTCCAGTGGAGGGTCATTCTGAGTAACCCGGCATTCAAGCACGGAGCACTTCTCACAGGTGACTCCCAACATAACACAAACACAGCCAGTGGACGCGGCGTCGGTCAGTTCTGCCCCCAGGCCAGCGACCGGCAGCCGCGGGGGTGGATTCAGCGAATGAATGCAACAGGCAGCTGGGCAGAGCACCGGCCACCGAGCTGCCGCTGGAACAACGAGGCGAGGCCACCAGGGCTCAGTGTGCTTCTCTGGGAAATGGGCATGGTACCATCTGACAGACACGGGATAGGGAGCTGCACGGTATGTCACACATGGTGACAGCTTCGTAACCACCTGAGGTTGCACAGGGGACAGTCTCCCATGGAGAACTGTACCGGGCATCGGGGGAGGCACTGCACCAGCGCCACCTCCCCGGGGGCGGCCTCTCTGCCAGAGGGGAAAAGAGGGATTCCACAGCACGCAAAGTACAGACCACTTCATGCTTCGCAGCTTCAGGAAGGGAATGCACAGGTATCTTACCTGTGGAAAAGTGTTTTTTCTGCTAATCCATACAATCCACATTTCTCCACCTTTTCAACAGCTGTTTTATTACTGGAATCCTTAAAATATTCATTCATTTCGGCATTAAGAGTTGCAAAAAGATCCAAATATTTGTCAATTATACGGCCAAAGTAATTTGTTGCATTTGAAACATAAAATGGTATTACCTGAAACACATACAGTAAACAAATCCAGAAAACAAAATTTAAATAAAAAACACACACACTCCCTGTGTTTGCAGAAAGCAACACCTGACCTGAGACCTCGATGCAAGCAAACGGGACTGAAAGTTAACTGTGAGGGGCCGGCGTCGTGGCCCAGCGGGGTAGGCCACTGCCTGCAGCACCCCATCGAGCTCGGGCTGCTCTCCTTACAACCTCGCTCATTTTCTCTGCTAATGGCCTGGGAAAGCAGCAGAAGTGCTTGGGCCTCTGCACCCACGTGGGAGACCCAGAAAAAGCTCCTGGCTTCGACTCAGCCCAGCCCCGGTTGTTGTGGCCATCCGGGGCTGAACCGGCCGCTAGAAGATCTGTCTCTCTCTGTAACTCTGCTAGCTAGCTAACTAAAATAAATAAACAAATAAATACATAACTCAAACTAGGACGCAGGCAAATGCCTCATCATATTTACAAATAATTTCACTTTAAGATTTTTTCCAAATTCCCTAATTTTTAAAAAATATTCACTTTTGTTAAGATTTATTTTATCTTATGTATTTGAAAGGCAGAATTACAGAGAGAGAGCTCTTCCATCCACTGGTTCACTCCCCAAATGGCCACAACAACCAGGGCTGGGCCAGGCCAAAGCCAGGATCCATAGCTTCTTCTGGGTCTCCCACACGCGCAGCAGGGGCCCAAGAACGCGGCCCATCTTCCGCTGCTTTGCGAGGTGCATTAGCGGGGACTCACATTAGTGCTCTGATATGAGATGTGGGTGTCACAAGCGGTGGCTTAACACACTGCACCACAATGCCAGCCAGAAATTCCATTATTTTTTTTTTTTTTTTTAATAGAAGCATTCCACTGTCTACTTCCCAACTGCACTTCTGTGACAGTTCTCCTGGGAACAGCACTGGTGTCTCAGCCACTTCTACTTGATTCCATGTAAGCAAGCACAAGTGCTTTAATAAAAGCCTTCTGCAGGCCGGCGCCGCGGCTCACTAGGCTAATCCTCCGCCTAGCGGTGCCGGCACACCGGGTTCTAGTCCCGGTTGGGGCGCCGGATTCTGTCCCGGTTGCCCCTCTTCCAGGCCAGCTCTCTGCTGTGGCCAGGGAGTGCAGTGGAGGATGGCCCAGGTGCTTGGGCCCAGCACCCCATGGGAGACCAGGAAAAGCACCTGGCTCCTGCCATCGGATCAGCATGGTGTGCCGGCCGCAGTGTGCCGGCCGCGGCGGCCATTGGAGGGTGAACCAATGGCAAAGGAAGACCTTTCTCTCTGTCTCTCTCTCTCACTGTCCACTCTGCCTGTCAAAAAAAAAAAAAAAAAAAAAGCCTTCTGCAAACCAGCCCCAGGGGCCTGCAGTGACAGGGCGTGGACAGAGGCCACAGCCATGGCACGGTTAAGACAGCAGGGCTGCTGGTGTGCGAGGGGGAAGGCGGGGAGGCACCGGTACACCTGCCAGAGTGTGGGGAGGGCGTTCCAGACAGAGGGACTTCGTTTGCATTAAGGCAGGGCGCCCCGTCTGCCTGGCAGGCAGCAGTGAGGAGGAGTTACTTGTTAGGATGGCAGAGAGGCCAGTGCTGACTGGGAGTAAGGCCGGGGAGGCAGGCAGGGATCAAAAGGAGGGTGGGGACTCCCAGGGCTGACAGCCCACAGCCTCTTCTGTGGCCCCTTCTAACTTTATCACCTGCCATTTCCCCACTCGCATCGCCTTGTGCTGCCCTTCGCACTGGCTGACTCCTGTGCCTGGGCTATTCTTCCCCAGATCCTCCCATTGCTGGGTCCTTGTTACTCAGGCCCGAGTGCTAGTCACCGCCTCTGCAGACGGTCCCCCCTGCCTGCCACTGCCAAGGGCCCCCTGCCCCGGCACACTCACACCAAGACACCCGCTGGTACTTCACCGCCTCTCAGCTCTGCACAGTCACCTTCCTCACTGACGCTCCCTGCTGACCACCTCCACGGAACGCCCGCCCCAAGGCACAGGAACCGTGTCTGGCAGGCAGCTCGGGGAAGCGGCCCTAACAAACCCGGAGCCTCCTGCGTCCTCCTCAGGCAGTGTGCGCCGTTCTCCTTCCTGCTCACACACGGCCCTGGCCCAGGGGGGCTGGGAAAGGCAGGCTCCCCTGCGGAGAGGACCCCATCTGCGTGCCCACCTGGTGAAGGCAGACATGGCCTGAGGAAAACACGCACTACCACGTCATGAGACGTGAACTGGGCGTAGTATGATTACACACGGCAGTAGCGGACTATAAAAAGATGCAGAGAAAACATACTGAGGCGCCAGTGGTGGCAGTTCGAGGAGAATGGGTATAAAGGGCGCGCTCCCCGCCCCCACGCCGCAGTTGTAACTCTGTGTGCTGGGCCTGGGGGCCCTGCAAGCTCAGCAAACAACGGAATGCAGGCCCGCACCCGGCAGCAGGTCTAGCGGTTTCTCGTGGGGATCAGCACGCCTGGGCATAGAGGTCACCAGCGGGAGGGCGGGGCCCACAGCAGTCTGTGGGCTGGATGCTCTTCACAGAGGGGAGCACTGGCCCCCCCCACAGGGTGACCAGCTCGCCCTGCAGCCTGGGGCCCCCAGCTCCGGCACCCGGGAGACTCCTCAGTCGTCCTCGCTACTGGCCTGCTGCCACTCTCCCTCGGACCCTTGCAGACAGCTAACTGTTCTTACGGGGACAGGACGAAGGGGAAGGAGACAAAAACCAACGATATTTTTAAAAGCAATTAGAAAATAAACTTAAAAACAGCAACAGTAACAGGCGTGGACACCTGGCACCCTGGTTAAGGAGCCGGTTAGATGTCCACATCTGACGCCTGCATCTCTGGCTCCTGGCTCGTTTCCTGCTAATGCAGATCTTGGGAGGCAGCGGTGATGGCTCAGGGAATTGGGTCCCTGCACCCATGTGGGAGATCTGGCTTGAGTTCCTGGCTCCTGGCTTCAGCTACAAGTATGTGATGACAAAAGGGCATCCCATATGGGCACACCAGTTCAAGTCCCGGCTGCTCCACTTCCTATCCAACTCTCTGCTGTGGCCTGGGAAATCAGCGGAGAATGGCCCAACTCCTTGGGTCCCTGTACCCACGTGGGAGACACAAAGGAAGCTCCTGACTCCTGGCTTCAGATCGGCGCAGCTCTGGCCATTGTGGCCATCTGGGGAGTGGACCAGCAGATGGAAGACCTCTCTCTCTCTCTGCCTCTCCTTCTCTCTCTGTGTAACTCTAACTTTAAAATAAATGAATAAATCTTAAAAAAAAAAAAAAAAGAAAGATGAATCAGGGGGCCGGGACTGTGGCATAGCGGGTGAAGCCACCACCTTAATGCTGGCATCCCATACGGGAAAAAGAAATAAAAGGGCATCCCAAAATATATCGAGAATTGTTTAAAAACTAATTAAGTAGAAACCTCAAATAAAAAAGGCACAAAATCTGAGCAGAGTTGATAAAGGAGATGTAAATGGCCAGTGGGGGCTGGCATTATGGTGCAGTGGGTTAACCCACTGCCCGTGATGCTGGCGTCCCATGTGGGTGCTGGTTTGTGTCCCAGTTGCCCCACTTCCTATCCAGCTCCCTGCTAATGATCTGGGAAGGCAGTGGAGGATGGCCCGAGTGCCTGGGGCCCTGCCTCCCACATGGGAGATCCGGAGGAAGCTCCTGGTTCCTGGCTTCAGCCTGGCTAGGTCAGGCCATTGGGGCATTTGGAGAGAGAACCAGCAGAGGGAAGCAAGCTAGCTCCCTCTGTCTCTCCTTTTAGCTTTCAAATAAATAAATCTTTTTTTAAAAAAATGGCCAGGAAGATGAGCAAAGATGCTCATGAAGCTTCATGGCCAGGGAAATGCAAACAAGCGATAGCTGCAGACTCCACAGAACGGCTGAGACGGAAGACGGTGAAGTGCTGATGGCAGAACCAGAGTTCTCACAGGCAACGCTGGTGAGAATGCAAGATGGCACAACGACTCTAGAAGAACGTTTGGCAGTTTCTTATAAACACACACGTCTATGGCTCAACAATTCTACTTCTAGGTCTCAATGGAAATGGAAAGATACCTCCAAAAGACTAGCAACACAACTGTTCCCAAGCAGCTTCAAACTGGAAATGACCCACATGCAGCAACCTGTGAACACACAGACATGGTACGTCCATGTAAAGGACTCCTACTCAACAAGGAAAGGACACCACGGAGGAATCTCTAGAGCTTCACACTGAGGAACTGGGGTGGGCATTCGGCTTAGCGGTCAGGCCACCCGTCAGAACACCCGCATCCCAGGTCAGAGTGCCTGGGCCTGAGTCTCCGCTCTCTCCCGATTCTAACTCCCCGCAGGCAGCAGGTGACGGCTCAAGTGGTTAAGTCCCTGCCATCCACATGGGAGACCTGGACTGAGTTCCTGGCTCCTGTGGTCAGCTGAGGAGCAAACCAGTAGATGGAAGCTGCTCTTAAATAGATGAAAAAAAATTTTTTTTGACACACAGAGTTAGAGAGACAGACAGAGACAGAGAAAGGTGTTCCTTCCATTGGTTCACTCCCCAAAGGGCTGCCACGGCTGGTGCGCTGCGCTGATCCGAAGCCAGGAGCCAGGTGCTTCTCCCCAGTCTCTCATGCAGGCACAGCGCCCAAGCACTTGGGCCATCCTCCACTGCCCTCCAAAGCCACAGCAGAGAGCTGGCCTGGAAGGGGAGCAATCAGTACAGAACTGGCACCCAACTGGGACTAGAACCCGGGGTGCTGGCGCTGCAGGCATAGGAATGAGATGGAGAGACAGAGAGAAAGGTTTTCCATCCGCTGGTTCACTGCCAATGGCCGCAACGGTCGGAGCTGTGCTGATCCGAAGCCAGGAGCCAGGAGCTTCTTCCCAGTCTCCCATGCGGGTGCGGGGGCCCAAGGACTTGGGCCATCTTCTACTGCTTTCCCAGGCCACAGCAGAGAGCTGGATTGGAAGAGGAGCAGCCGGGACTAGAACTGGCGCCCATATGGGATGCCAGCGGCGCAGGCAGAGGATTAACCTGCGGCGCCACAGTGCCAGTCCCGGAGATGGCTTTTTAAGATAGGACATCAAAAGCACCATCCTGAAAGAAAAAATCAGTGAGCTGACTGCATTAAAAACAGAAACTTCTGCTCTGCAAAAGACACAACTATCATAAAGTGAATGAAAAGATCAGACCAAGACTGAGAGAAAACTTCTGCAAAATGCTTAACTGATCAAGTTGTATCTAAAATATACAAAGAACGCTTAACACTCAATAATAGGAATATAAACCAACCAACTAAAACCATCTGAATGGACGCTTTACCCAAGACTCCATACTGATGGCATACTTTTGAATGAAAGCCTGTTCAGGGCGACAGTTGGCCTGGAGGCTAGGATGCCTGCATCCCACAGCTGGGGCTCCTGGGCTCAGCCTGGTTCCAGCCTCCTACTAACCCAGATCCTGGGACGAGGCAGTGACAGGGTAAGTGACAAGGTCCCTGCCACACACACAGGAGATCTGGCTAGTGATCCTGGTCCCCTGCTGAGGGCATTTAGGGAGAGAAACAACGGATGGGAGCTCACTCTCTTTCTGTATATTTTTATCTACTACCCTCCCACCTTTCAAATAAATAAATACATGTTTTAACAAAGAAGGAATGCTCAGCATGGGGTGTTATGAGGAAACTGGAAATTAAAAATACTACATGCTAACAGAATCTCTGAAATCCAACACACTGACTATGCCAAACGCCGGTGAGGAAGTGAGCAACAGGAAGGCCCATTCACTGCTCACGGGAATGTAAACTGACACAGCTGTGCTGGAAAACAGTTGGCAGTGTCTTGTAAAACTAAACGCCGTGCACCCTTGATCCAGAAAGCACACTCCAAACAGCTCACATGGGTGTCTGCAGCACCTTCAGTCAGAGCCAAAGCCCAGACGCAGCAGGTGAACGGACGCGCCAACTGTGACACTGACACCAGCTACTATTCAGCTCGGAAAAGGAATGAAGCCTCATGCCATGGGAAGAGCTGGGGGAAACACAGATGTGTATGATTTTCTTCAAGATTTGTTTATTTTTATTTAAAAGGTAGAGTTACAGAGATCTAGATGTGTATTTTTTTTAAGATTCATTTTTGTTTTTTGAAAGGCACAGTGACAGAGATCTTCCATTCGCCACAAACAGCCAAGGCCAGGCGGAGCTCCATCAGGTCTCCCACACAGGTGGCAGAGGCCCGTCCGCTGCTGCCTTCTCAAGTGCATTAGTGGGGATTTGGATCAGAAGTGGAGCAGCCAGGACTCAAAGTGGTGCTCTGATTCGGGATGACAGCATGGCAGGTGGTGGCTGAACTCACTGTACCACACGCCTGGCCCCTGCGGGCGTGCATTAATGACTACACGAGAGACGGCAATCTGATAAAGACCCTAAATAGACGACATTCTGGGAAAGCAGAATGGCTGTCCTAAGTGTGGGGGCAGGAGGGGGACGTGCAGGCGGAGCGCAGGGGGCTTGAGGCAATGAAAGGACTCCAATGCTGATGTCGCCGTGGGGGACAGGCACTACCACACGCCTGTCACAACTCTACACCAGCAACAGGGAGCCGGCACCGAGACCATGGACTTCAGTTAATAAAAATGCAGCAATACTGGTTCATTGGTTGTCACAAATGTGGTACACCAACCCAAAATGCTAGTAACAGAGGAAACTGGGGGTGGGGGGGAGGCTTATGGAATCCCAACTTTTCTATAAATTTAAAACTGCTCCAAAAACTTGTATCTATTAATTGAAAAAACAATGAAAAAACAATTAAAAGTAGAGCAAAAGCCACCCACATCCACCAAAGCTGCCTGGTGCCCGTGTCTGGGTGGTAAGTGGCAGAGCGTCCAATGGGCTCGGGAATGGAGAACTGTGGGGGAGGTGGCAGGTGCCTGGGAAGATGCTGTGGCCTGCGGGACAACAGCAGCTACACTGGGAAGGCCCTCACCTGCTCTGCAGCAGGGCAGGCTGCCGCCGCTATGACACACCCAGACTGACCCTCCAGGGGCAAGAGAACGGCCAGACCGAAGTGGGAAGGGAGACGGCCGGGATGTTTCCAAACCTCAGACACTTTATCAACATACACATACTATATATACATATATATATATATATATATACACACACACACACACACACACACACAAACATACAGAACACATCAACAACAGAAATGGGAACTCTGCCAAATTAGAAAAATTACCCTGACAAAGCATTGAGGCTACATGAATCGGCTTTTTGTCACTGTAACAAAATACCTGGAACAAACTGTCTATGAAGGAAAGAGAGGATTATTCTGGATCACAGACTTGGAGGTTCAAGTCGAAATCCACAGCTCCATCAATCCACACCCCATCAACCGGGCATCTGGTGAGGGCACTGTCGCTGGGAGGGTCCCAAGGAGGTGCAGCACGTCACTCAGTGAGAGGGAGTACAGGTGCCCCTGTCTCCCTGTGATTCAATCCTAACACCCTAACAGCCCATTAAAAACAATCACCTCCTGAAGGCCAACCCTTCAACCCTCACAACTGGGTGAAGTTTCCGCCTTCTCAGCACCACTAACATGAGATGCTGGGGACCAAACCTTTAACACAAGAACTCGGGGACACTCAACACTCAAATCACAGTAAGAGTCAAATCTCACATTAAGTAATAATAAAATAAGAAGCAATAAAATATTTAATAAAATAGTTAAAAAGACAGTTAGAGGCAGAACAGCCTCTACAATGAAAGCCATTAGCAAGATGGATACACAAGAGACTAAAACTGTAATCTGCAATTTCTAGACATGCTCAGTTTAGCTTAAAAATATCATTATATAAAAGAATAACATAAATCAGAATTAGAAAAGCTTAGAAATGAATGACAGAACTCAGGAAAGAATGAGGAATTAAAGAAAAAATTACTTCGATAATGAAAACCATAATAGTTTGCAAAACAGCCCCACACGTAGGTGCGTCTGTGTCCTAGCATTCACAGGGGCTCTGCAGATGAGGAGATGTCGTGAATAGGCCGGGTCAGGGGTGGGCCTTCTCCAGAGGACACAGAAAAAAGGGGGAGGGCGGTAAGGAGGCTGCGGCAGGGATGGGGGCGGTGTGGCTCCGAGCAAGACACACCAAGGAATGGCCGGGTCAAGAGAAGCTGGAGAGACAGCACAGGCTGTCTTCTGGCTGTGGAGGGAGCACGGCCCTGCCAACACCTTGATCCTGGACCTCCGGCCTCCAAAACCATGAGGAAGTCAATGGGGGCTGTTCTAGGTCACTACTGCTGTGGTAACTTGCTACAGCAGCCCTAAGACACTAACACAACAGACAGTGTCTTATGGAAAGAGGTGAACGGGAGGAAATATTTTAACGCAAAAAGAAATGAAGACATCTAGAATTCAAAGAAAATGAACTCTTTAACTCAGCCATTCTATTTGCATCTCAAGAATTTTCCTCAAAGGAATAATCTTGGATGTTTTGAAAAGATTCATGTAATCAATGCATTATTTTTAATAGCCCCAAATGGAAACAATATTTTAAAAATATAACTGAAAAATCCAATCCCTAAATTTTCCTCCATTTGGCTAATTTGACCTTGCTTTTACCAATAAACTGGGGCCCTGGAAGGAGGCTGCATCTAGGGAGCCAGGCCACTTGTCAGATAAGCAGTTGTCCCCTAGCACTGACTACCCAGTCCTAACTGCGTTCTGGAAGATTCTGGTCCTCAGGAGCACCTTCACGGAGATGGCATTACTCAGCGGGAAAAAGGATCTTTACCAGAACTTACTTTAATGTATCCAGACACGGGCAGGGCTTGGTTGGATAATTTCCTGGGCATGTCCATTTCTGGGTTAATGTGGTGTCGGTCAGGACAGATCCTTTGGTCTCTGAGAAAAAAGAGAACACTAAATTTTTATAACCAGAAAAACACTACTAACAATTGTTGCCACAAATTTGTAAGTGTTCTTTAGAAAATTAATCTACCATCATCAGAGAATTTTTCTTCCAAACACCTTAAAAGTTAAGTAACCACGACTCATACTTGATATAACACAACAATATATAAATAATTGAAAGGTTTCTAAAATTTAACACTGAATAATAAAGAATTACTTGATTACTTTTCTAGTAGATACTCTTTTTAAAAAAGATTTATTTATTTGAAAGGCATAGTGACAGAAGGAGAGAGAGGATCAATTTTCATCTGCTGATTCACTTCCCAAATAGTCACAACAGCCAAGTCTAGGCCAGGCCAAAGTCAGAGGCCTGGCACTCAATCTACATTGCCCATGTGGGTGGCAAAACTTGGGCCATCATCTACTGCCTTTTCAGGCGCATTAGCAGGGAGCTGGATCAGAAGCAGAAGAGCTGGGACTCAAATCAGCACTCTGATGTGGGATGCTGGCAGCGTACCCTGCTGCGCCACACGCTGGCCTCACGTAATACATGGTGAGGGAGCATCATGTGCAAGATGGCAACTCTGCCCTGTTTCCCACCAGACACACAAATTGACAAGTGTGGATCTCAGACTTAGATGATACAGCTAAAACTACAAAGCTTCTGGAAGAAAACATAGGAGAATGTCTTTATGGCCAGAGATAGACAAATATTTCTCATGTAAAAACATACAAGACAGCAACCCTAAAAGGCTGCACCAAACCAAGTGTCTGTTAATGAAAGGGCTACTGAAAAGAGTGAAAAACTACAGCCAGACTGAGAGAAGACATCCTCGATGCATGTCCCAGATATATACACACATCTGTGTGTATATGCATGTATGTGTGCATATGTGTATATATGTGTGTGTATGTTATATACATGTTTTATACGTACACCTATATATGTGTATATATAGTCACCACCCATAAATCAGTAAGAACAAGATAAATGCCCTCATTTATTTATTTTTAATGATTATATTTATTTATTTGAGAGGCAGAGCTACAGAGAGAAAGGGAGAGACACAGAGAGAGGTCTTCCATCTGCTCAATGGCCACAGCTGAGCCATTCTGAAGCCAAGAACCAGGAGCCTCCTCTAGGTCTCCTATGTGGGTACAGGGGCTCAAGCACTTGGGCCATCCTCTACTGCTTTCTCAGGCCACAGCAGAAAGCTGGATTGGAAAAGCAGCAGCTGGGACTAGAACCAGCACCCATATGAGATGCCGGCACTGCAGGCAGATGCTTAGCCCACTATGCCACAGTGCCAGCCCTCAAAAGCCCCCAATTTAAAAACAGTCAATAACCTGAACAGGCATTTCACAAAAAGAGGATAGTCTAATGTCCCACAAGCATATGAAAAGATGTCTGACCTCACTGTAGGGAAATCCAGTTAAAGTCACTATAGTGGTTTGCCACTATACCCCAAGGTCGGGTAGCGCAAACTGTTCTACAGCCTTCAGGATCCCAGTAGGTTAACCACCAGGAGGAGGTGGCTGGACACCCATCCTGTGACCTAGCAATTCCACTCCTTAATAAAGACAAAGAGAAATGGATGCAAATTTCAACACGAAGACATGAACAAGGCTGCTTGTAGCAGTTTTCACACACAATAGCCAGAAACCAGCAACAGCAGGAGGGACACACACACATTGTGACAGAGTCACAGAATGCAACACTCAGCCACAAATTACACTCAGTAAAATACAGAAACCACAACGACAGACAGGTGTTGCTGACCCTGGGTTGAGGAAGAGACCAAACACAAAGAGCACCTACCACAAGTCCCTTTATATGGGGCTCAAAGCAAGCAACATTACTCCAGGCTGACAGCTGCCGAGAGGGCAGTCACCTCTGGTGCCCCTCAGTGCTGGGAGGGTGCACGCGCCCAGCGGTAAACTCAGCAGCTGTGCACCTGACGGCATGGGCTACCTCCCTTTTAGAACAAGAACACAGGCTTACTTGCAAAATCCAAAAGCCTTAAGGTACGGACAAAGCGGACTTGTGGCCTTCTTATCTTCTTTGGCTTCCAGAACCCCTGCAGTGAACTCGTACAGCTCCGATGGGACTTTGGCATCTGCTCGCTCCAAGTAGCGCAGGACGCCCATGGCATGGCTCGCGTTTCTCTCCGTCAGCAGCAAGACAGACTTGGTCTTCCTGTCTCCCTGTTCTGCAGGAGAACCCTTAACACCGGGGTGAACACAGGAATGGGGTCACCCACACCAGTCTAAATGGGGAAACGTGTCATTACATAGAAAACCACCGTGACACCCTGAAGATAATAAAAAGTAAGCAAACCTGTTCGGTTAAATTCTGAAAATGATCAGACATGCAATACAGGCGTCCACCAAAAACTTTTGGCGAGGAGGGGAAGCTGAAGTGAATCACACATGTGGCATCAGTGATGGCCAAGAGTGGTATGCAATCGTCCGTCAAGGCTGGGGGAGAGGATTCCGACAACCGCACGTGAGCCGGGCACGAGCCGCTCCAGAAACCACACAACACGACACTGCCGTGTGCGTTTTACTTCACACTTGCAAAGAAACTCCCTTCCCACCGTTTTTGTCAAAAGTGCCGTCGCCTGTGGTAATTGAACTCTAGAGAGAAGTGGCCTCCCTTCCAGTTCAACAGTGCCTCTTTCTACTCCAATGCGCAGGCTGCCTGTATGCTTTTCACTTACTTCGTGCATCTAGCCTTTCGTATTTCTGATGTTCAACGTAACTATCATTCACAACACATTTCGGCACAGGCATGTATCTGATAATGATGCCTACAGGCCTACTCACCCACCCACCTACCCAACAGGGATCTGCCAGCCACAATTCCAGGGAGAAAGTCTAGACTGAGGGTTTCTGCCGGTTACCAACCTGAGAGCCCGGGGGGGCCCTAGATTCACCTCAACAGGAAAATCATAGCAGAGGTTAATCTCCAGCTTAAAATTAACATTACTAACTCCCAGACAACCTGGGAAAGAATGAGAACTCTGGAGATGAGAAACATAAGTACAAATGAATTAAAGACAGGATTCCTATTAACTAGAAATTAAAACACTTACCTAGGACAATGTGAGAGCCAGAACTCAACCTCTTTTTCCACTGTTCCAAAACACTTTTTAAGTTAAAAACCATTTCTTTGTGCATTTTCAAGCAAAATATTGAATTGCTTTCTACTACCTAAACGAGAAACCAAAGAGGCCAGTTCACAGTCAGGAACAAGCTCGAAGCCACTTGTTCCATCAAGAACGATCAACATAAGGACTGGAGTTGTAGTGTAGTGGTTAAACCAACACCTGTGATACGGCATCCCACATGGGCACTGGTTGAGTCCTGGCTGCTCCACTTCTGATCCAGCTCCCTGTTAATGCACTTGGGAAAACAGCAGAAGACAGCCCAAGTACTGGGGGCCCTGCCACCCAGCTGGGAGATCTGGATGGGATTCTGGACTCCTGGCTTCTGTATGGCCCAGCCCTGGCTGTTGCAGCCATTCGGGGAGTGAACCTGCACAGGGAAGCTCCTTCTCTCTGTGTCTTTCCCTCTGTCTCTGCAATTCTGCCTTTCACATAAAAAATAATTTTTTTAAAAAAATAATTATCAACATAAGCCACTTTACATTACCCAGGAAACTACTATCTCCCTGATTAGGCATTCTTACTAATGAGATGACTAAGTTTTGAATAAATGTATTTTCCCAATTTTGTAATCTATCTATATCTAAAAACCCGCTGAAATATTATTTTGATAAAATATTTTCATTCCCTTTTAAATGACATGTATATATTTATGTATGTAATATACAAAGTATGGGTGTGAATGTATATGTGTACGCACATCAAATACACAGCACTTTTGTTAACAAGCACTTTTTTTTTAAGAGATGGAGACGGAAGGAGCTCCCATCTGCCGGTTTACTCCCCAGACGTCCACAATGGCCAGGACTGGGCCAGGCCAAAGCTAGGAGCCCAGGAATGCAATCCAGATAGGTGGGTATCAGGAACCTAACTCCTTGAGCCAGCACCGCCTCCCAGCGTGCTTTAGCAGAAAGTTGGAATCAAGGGCCAGAACCAGGACTCGAACCCAGGCACGCCAAAATGGGATGTGGGCGTCCCAACAAGGTCAAGCCCCGCCCCAAGAAGGGCTTTTGAATTCTACCTTCTAGGTCATCACTGCAGAAAGGTAGATGTGTAACTCACTCCCTGTATCTGGCTTTGTTTCTATATTTGAGCAGTTATGTAGACAAAATCAGATCAAACTGAATATATCCTAAGTCAGTTTATCTGGTTCTTGTAGCCAACATCTGATCTTTCTAGCTACACAGTAACTGTCATCTTCTCAATCTTCTTGAAGGAAGGGGACACAAAATGTGGGCATTTCTTCACAAGTGGGACCCTCTCCCTGCTCTTCCAGACAAAGCGTGAGCACTGCTCCCCAGGGGAGCGCTGCTACAGTGCGATGCTGGCTGCACCCCTGGGGCGCCAGACCCACTGCCAGGCCTCCAGGCACCAGTGCTTCCGGGAGCAGAGCCCACTCCCCTGCTGCCTGATGTTAAACTTGTGGACTCGGATTTCCCCCATTGCATACTCAGCTCCCCTAGTCATTTTCTGACGACCTGAGATTCAACCACAGTTTAAACAGCGGGGACATTTTAACGTGTGGTAGGGCTCACCTTAGACACCATGTCTGCTTCAGCCACGGAGCAGGTGAAGATCAAGGTCTTCTGTGTCTGGCTTGGAATGAAATCAAGAACTTGGAGTAAAGTAGAAGTTTTTCCACTCTCCAGGCAAAGGTGCACAACCTAGTAATGACATACAATAGTATCATCTTCTAAAAGTTCAAGGCGCTCCAGTTTCACTTTCTGTAAGTAAGTTCTGATTCTCAAAGGAAATAATACCTAGGAAATCAATACAAATTTATACATAATCACAAATTTGTGTATCAAATCAAATCAGAGTGTAATGGTTTAATATCAGCCCATGTAATGCAGCTGCTTGCTGTGTTCATCAGCCCTGCTCCCCTTCCCCATGGCCGCTACCTGCTGGACGTTGCCGTAGAGGGCAGCCTCTTCCATGGCCGTGATCACAACACAGGGGTCGTTCAGGAACTCTCTGATTAAATGCGCTATATGTTTGTTCCAGTGAACTCCAACTGCAACGATCTGATGAGGTGCAGACTCTCTTTCTTCAACGTCAATATTTTTTTTAAAGTTATCTAATATAGCAAGCATCTAAAAAATCAGTATAATTCATTTCATTTTAAGAGAGAATAAGCTGGTTTGACAGAACATAAAATATAAAATGGAGAAAATGTTAAATTTCAAGTCAATAAACGTCCAAAAACCCCCACTCTAAAAAAAACCTGGAGCACCAACAAAGTCTTGGTACATACGTGTAACAAAGGATTAGATGTTCATACAGAAACCTCCTTTTTTTTTTTTTTTTTTTTGACAGGCAGAGTGGACAGTGAGAGAGACAGACAGAGAGAAAGGTCTTCCTTTGCCGTCGGTTCACTCTCCAATGGCCGCCGCGGCCGGCGCGCTGCGGCCGGCGCACCGCGCTGATCCGATGGCAGGAGCCAGGAGCCAGGTACTTTTCCTGGTCTCCCATGGGGTGCAGGGCCCAAGCACTTGGGCCATCCTCCACTGCACTCCCTGGCCACAGCAGAGAGCTGGCCTGGAAGAGGGGCAACCGGGACAGAATCCAGCGCCCCTACCGGAACTAGAACCCGATGTGCCGGCGCCGCTAGGCGGAGGATTAGCCTAGTGAGCCGCGGCGCCGGCCCATACAGAAACTTCTAAAAATTGGTGACAAAGATCATCCCACCCACAGAAGGTAAAGAAATGAATATGCAATTCATAGAGGGATGGACACAATGTTCAACGCAGGGAAATACAAACCAAGCTAAGGAGATCTCACTATTTACTAATTAGACTGCAAAGCAAGCTGGGCCCAGGAGTGCGGGAGCAGGGTCGGTGACACAGGGGGAGTGTCCCTCGGTCTGTGCTTTCACAGGCAAATGTACAGAAGTAACCCCAGAGGAAAAAAGTAAGATCTTTAGCCAAAGACATATACAAACTAGGTTAATTGTCCAAAACTAAGACAATTTTGGAGTAAATTGTGTTACACGCATGTGACTCAGTGCCATATGGCCAATGAAAATCATGCTGCAGAATAGCAACTAACAATACAACAGTGTTAACTGCAAAATGCAAGTTACAAAACTGTACCTAAAATATGTTCTTGATATAAAATATATGCATCAACGAAAACAGGAATTAAGAAACAAAATACTTCAAAACAGTTGAAGCAATTCCTCTGAATGTGAGATTATGAATGTGGGGCTTTTCCCTGGTCTCTGCTCAAATTCTCTAAATTAAGAATTCCTGCTTCCATAATCAGAAAAATACTAAATATTCAGAAAAATCTCCTGGTAAAGAACTGCTTCTCAGTGAGAACTTTAACAGTGGGAAAGAAATTCCAGATACACATTCTCTCCATCACAGAAGTCACAAGGGGAAGGGGGCTTGGATTAGCCGCTTTGCTCCCCACGGGACACCGCCCCGACCCTGCAGAGCGCTCAGGACTGCAACCCTTCGCGTGGCCTACCTGCTCGTTAGCTTCCGAGAACAGCACTTCCACCTCATCCAGGACCAGGTGGCAGAGCCTGAGAAACAGCAAGCTCTGGTCCGTGAGCAGCCGCAGCAGGCTCTGTGGGGTTGTAACAATCACATCACCTGCATTTTCACTAACATTTCCTTTACTAATCTTCCAGTGTTTTTCAAGAGGCGGTTTGTCTACTCAGGTGGGTGCGGCCAGCCCCTGCCCACTGAGGCTCGTCCCTGCCAGTATCCAGTCCAGTGCCTGGGCTCCACCAGGCTTCGTGCTCCTGAAAGGCAGGCAAGGCTGGAGTCCACACCACGTGTCCAGCACCTAACACACTCCACATGCTCAACAAAGAGCTGCCAAATGAACGAATTCACACCGCTGTCTCAAGGTCACCCACTGGTGACTGATGGGGAGCGAGGGCCCCGTCATCACACGGCCCGCTGGGCAGGGATCCACCATCTTCCACAGGAAAACCCAACAGCCCGGAAAGGACGCTTACACCCCCTGGGCAGCTTCAGATTTTTGGCTTCGTCTTTGTGGAGTCCGATTGTTAACAACATGGGATGAAGAGGCCTCGAGGACTTGCTATAGTCTTCCAATAATTCAAAAGTTAATTGGGCCTTTTTCCACCCAGGGCACACGATGACTGCAAGAGGCTGCAAAGACAAGCAAATTCAAGTAATTGTGGACACTGGTTAGGAATCCAACTTAGTGTATGGAAACATCCAGAACATCTCCCTGGACAGCATAAGCCTCTCACAAGTTTTTACGACCATCGTCATTGAAGAGTTCAGCAAAATTCATTAGACTGAGACACACTGAGTGAGATTTCCCTAGGGCTTAAACCTAGTACTTCACGGGGGGGTCTACTGTTACTCCATCTCACAGATGGCAGGTCTGAGGCACAGAGAGGTAAGCCAGCTGCCCAAAGCTGCACAGAGAGGTAAGCCAGCTGCCCAAAGCTGCACAGCTAGTACACGGTAGTCTGGCCCCAGACCCCGCAGTGCGAGGAGCCTCTTCCTGAGGAGACCCCCTTTCCGACCTCGGCAGTCCACCAGCCCCCAGGCACACCTCGGCAGTCCACCAGCCCACACATGCCCTCCACTGACGAAGACAGAACCCAGGTGAGTGCAACTTCCAGGGCTGAGAGCGGGGCAGCCACAGAGGTGTGGAGAAAGCAGGGGGGGCACGAGGAGGAAGATCTGGACATCCCTTTCTCTTTAACCTAAGTGGCATCTCACCAGCACGGCTCAGCTGTTCACTAGTTCGGGGATAGACACGCATGCATTCGTGGTGACCGTGGTGACCGCACAGTGCCTAAGATGCCACTTGGGATGCCCACATCCTATTATCAGAGTGCCTGGGTTCAAGTCCCAGTTCTACTTCTGATTCCAGTGCCTGCTAATGCAGACTCTAGCAGGCAGCATGTGACGGCTTCAAGAACTTGGGTTCCTGCCATCCACATGGGACATCTGGATTGAATTTTGGGCCCTTGGCTTTGGCCTGGCTCAGTCCTGGCTATCAAAGGCATTTTGGGAATGAACCAGTAGATGGAAGATCTCTGTTTATATCTCTCTCTTCCAAATAAATTAAAAAGTGGTTAATTACTCATTTGATTAAATCAATATATAATATGATGCACATGTCCAAAGGGCAATCATTAAACTGCATAGCATAATTAGAAAACAAACTACTGCATGTTTCTGCCTACTATCTGTCACTGCACCCTTTGTGCCAGATTTCAGATCCATCAGTTCACCCTTCACCCATAAGACAAAACCCAGTAAGGGTAGCTGTCTCTGCCCACCATCATTCGACCCTAATACTCAATTCCTTTCCATCCCATCATCTTTCTCAGTTATTTTCAGATCCCCTCATGTGGTCAAAGCAGGATTATAAAACAATATGGTTGTTATGAAATAATTTGAAGAATGTATAACAGTAGATACTTATATTCTACTTCTACCTCTTGTCAGCTGTTAAGAATTTACCCAAGTAACTTTTCATGAGTTAATGTTCTTATCTATAAAATGGTGAAAACAAACTGAGTTGTCACTAGACCATCACCAACAGTTAAAAATAAACACTGAATCCACTTTGTTGGGAAACCAAACAATCTCAACTTACTCCGTTTCTACTTGGCAGCGACTTGTAGCAGCCCCCCGTTTGCAAAATTGTGAGAACTGGTGGGAGGTACAGCAAAGGGTCATTTCCACAGTGAGAAATGACCACCACATCGCAGCCACGCGCTATGGGAGGCCACGAGTAGGATTCCGTGTGGCTGGGTCCAGGGTACTTGTTTCTTTGAAGAGTCTACGAAACACAAAACCCCAAAACCACAATAAAGTACAGGAAACCAACAAAAACTCCATGTCATTGTTCACTTTAGTCCAATAACCACTACAGATTAGCCTCTACTGAATATGGTATTCCCCATAGGTGGCACACTGACCTCTGCTTCAAGCACTCTGGGACATCAGTGTGGCTCTTCCTCCCTATTTGTCTAATAATCAGTCCGTCTATCAGCTTCACTTGGAAGGCTTTTTAAAAACACACTTCTATGTGCTCCTTTTCCTACGTCTCCGACACTAAAATCCAAATGTTCCACCGGCTTTCCAACCATGTCAGGATCTCCCCAAGGCTGGGCTCCTCAGCACCCTTTCTCTGTGACCTCCTCCCCGAAGCCACTGCGATCCAGGCTGTTTCTATGCATTCAGCATTCGACTGCCATCCCGGGAGTTCCCTTCTTGGCTTAAGCCTTCGCTCTGATGGAGAACAGGGGATGTACATTCTGTGGAGCTCTGAACATCTGAAGGCGTTTTCAGTCCACCTCTCCCCTCCCTGACATAATGAGGAAGGGACTCACTTCTCACCAGAGGGCTCAAGGCCACACCCCTTGTTCTTGTGGAGACATCCGAGATCATTCCGACTGCTGGTCCTGGGAGGACCAGGTCCTCTTCTTCTAGAAGCCTCCACGATCTCCAAGACCCCTGGGTGTAGCTGCCTCACAGCCACACATCTGCCATCCTCTGTCCGTGATGGCAGACTAACCGCTAATTTGCAGAGTCATGGCCGCAGGCGGGACAATGGCCACAGCTCACCCTTCAGAGAACCATCTGCCCCCTTCCATCTCTCTCTAGAAATCCCACTTTCAGACCTTGGACTGGTCAAAAATCTTTTTTGTTTTTTAAAATTATTTCCATCTCTTTGCCTTTGTGGTTCTACTTTGATAGTTAGCTTCTCTTTTATATCTCAAACCAACTGCTGATTTTGAAAGTTTCTGTAATTGCTTGGATTTCCATGTTTTTATTTTCTCACTGTTCCTTTTTTTATAGCACCGTGTCATGTTAACTGGATGCAGTTTTCTTCTCTGATTCTGGAGGATCCTTTTACATTCTCACATGTTCTTCTATCTTGGCATTGTCTATTTCCTTCAGAGTTTGGTCTCTCTTGTTTGTGAACTACTGCAGAGGCCAACACTAAAACCTGGCTAGAAGCTTGGTGGGTGGGACAACCTGTCATCATGTGAGTGTCATGTCACTGAGGGAATGCAGGCCAGGAGGTGGGCATCTGCACTGGGAGAATTCCAGACAGAATCATCTAGAGGCTACTTCTCCAGGGCCATGTGGTTTTTCCAGAAAGAGTCTCCAATCTCTCTCTCCTGGAAACAATACAAACTGGCTCTGCATGTTCAGGGAACAGGGCAGGAAAGTTCACAGCCTCACTCTGTCCACTATCATCGGCCACAGTGCACCACTTGTTTTTCCATCTTCGAAAGGCCTGTAGACACTTCTGTCCACTAATACCTGTCTCTCTTTGTATACATTTTTTCCAGAAACCTTTTATTTAAGGACCATACACTTCATGCAATTCATAACTTTAGAAATATACTGATTCTTTGCACAGTACCCACCCTCCCACCCCTTTTCCTCCTCTTTCTCCTATTCCCATTGTTATTTTTTACTAAGATCTACTTTCAATTAACTATAATCATATGACTAACTCTATACTAAGAGTTCAAGAAATTGCATGAAAAAAAACTGTTCTTCAACAGTTAAGACAAGGGCTATTCAAAGTCACTGTATCTCAGAATGTCAATTTCACTTCTATAGATTACCTTTCAGGTGCTCTATTGGTTATCACAGGTCAGGGAGAAAATATGGTATTTGTCTTTTTTGGGACTGGCTTATTTCACTAAGTATGATGTTTTTCAGTTTCACTCATTTTGTTGTAAACAACAGAATTTCATTTTTTTAATCGTTGTGTAGTATTCCATTGTGCACATATCCCACAATTTCTTTATCCAGTCGTCAGCTGATGGACATTTGGGTTGATTCCATATCTTAGCTATTGTGAATTGAGCTGCATGTAGTATGTCTTGAAATCTGGTATTGTGATGCCTCTGGCTTTGTTTCTGTTGTATAAGATTGCTTTAGCTATTCAGGGTCACTTGTGTTTCCATATGAATTTCAGCATCATTTTTTCTGTATCTAAGAATGTCTTCGGTATTTTGATTGTTATCACAATGAATCTGTAAATTGCTATCAGCAGTATGGACATTTTGATGATATTGATTCTTCCAATACATGAACATGGAAGATTTTTCCATTTTTTCTTCCTCTCTTTCTTTCTTTAATGTTTTGTAATTCTCATTGTAGAGTTCACTGATATCCTTGGTTAAATTTATTTAGAAGTATTTAATTTTTTTGTGGCTATTGTGAATGGGATTGATCTTAGAATCAAGCCATGGCATTGTCTATGTATACAAAGGCTACTGATTTTTTGTGTTGATTTTTTATCTTGCCACTTCACCAAACTCATTTTTATGAGTTCCAATAGTTTTAATGGAGTCTTTTGGATGCCCTATATATAGAATCATTTCATCTGCAAACATCCTCCTTCCCAATTTATATCCTTCTGATTTATTTTTCTTGTCTAATGGTTCTGGCTAAAACTTCCAGGATTATACGGAATAATGATGGTGATAGTGGGTATCCCTGTCTGGTTCCAGATCTTAGTGGGAATACTTCCAACTTTTCCTCATTCAATAGGATGCTAGCTGTGGGTTTATCATAAATTGCCTTGATTGTATTGAAGAATGTTCATTCTATACCCAATTTGCTCAAAGTTTTTATCATGAAAGGATATTGTATTTTATCAAATGCTTTCTCAGCATCTATTGAGATAATCATATTGTTTTTGTTCTTCAGTTTGTTAATGTGAGGTAGCACATAGATTGATTTGTTAATGTTGAACTATTCCTGCATACCAGGGATAAAACCCACTTGGTCCTGGTGAATAATCTTTCTGATGAGTTGCTGCATTCAGTTGGCTAGTATTTTATTGAGGATTTTTACATCTATGTTCATCAAGGAAATTGGTCTATAGTTCTCTTTCACTGTTGTGTTTTTTTTCAGGTTTAGGAATTGAGGTGATACTGGCTTCATGAAAGGAGATTGGGAGGTTTCCCTTCATTTCAATTGTTTTGAATAGTTTGAAAATAATTGGAGTCAGTTTTTTAAAAGTTTGGTAGAATTCAGCAGTGAAGCCATCTGGTCCTGGGCGTTTCTTGATCAGTTATTACTGATTCAATTTCCATCTTGGTTTTTGGTTTGTTCAGGTTTTCTATGTCTTCATGGCTCAATTTAGGTAGGTTGTATGTATCCAGGAATCTATCCATTGCTTCTAGGTTTCCCAATTTGTTGGCATATAGTTCTTTGTAGTAATTTCTGAGATTCTTTTTATTTCTGTGGTGTCTGCTGTTACATTTCCTTTTTCATCTCTGATTTTATTGTTAGGTCTTCTCCCTCTTTTTTCTCTTTTCCTTTTGGTTAGTTTGGCCAATGGTCTGCCTGTCAATTTTGTTTATTTTTTCAAAAAACCAGCTCTTTGTTTCTCTGGGTTTTTTTGTTTGTTTTTGTTTTGTTTTTTATTTTTTTATAGGTAGAGTTAGACTGTAAGAGAGACAGAGAGAAAGGTCTTCCTTCCATTGGTTCACCCCCTAAATGGCCACTACGGCCAGCGCTGTGCTGATCTGAAGCCAGGAGCCAGGTGCTTCTTCTCAGTCTCCCATGCGGGTGCAGGGGCCCAAGCACTTGGGCCATCCTTCACTGCCTTCCCGGGCCACAGCAGAGAGCTGGACTGGAAGAGGAGCAACTGGGACTAGAACCCAGTGCCCATATGGGATGCCAGCGCCACAGGCGGAGGATTAACCAAGTGAGCCACGGCACTGGACCCTTCCCTGATGTTTTGTACTGCTTGTTTCAATTTTGTGGTTTTTTTCTTCTCCATTTTTAATTATTTCTTTTCTTGGGGCCAGCGCCGTGGCACAGTGGGTTAACACCCGGCCTGAAGCGCTGGCATCCCATATGGGCACCAGTTCGAGAAATGGCTGCTCCACTTTCTGTCCAGCTCTCTGCTATGGCCCAGAAAAGCAGTAGAAGATGGCCCAAGTCCACAGGGTCCACCTGCATGGGAGACCGAGAAGAAGCTCCTGGCACCTGGCTTCAGATCGGCACAGTTCTGGCTGTTGTGGCCGTCTGGAGAGTGAACCATCGGATCAAAGACCTCCCCCTCTCTCTCTCTGCCTCTCCTCTCTCTGTGTAATTCTGACTTTCAAATAAATAATCTTTAAAAAATCATTTCTCTTCTCCTACTAATTTTGGGTTTAGTTTGCTGTGGTTTTTCTAGGTCCTTGAGATGCAATAATAGTTCATTATTTGGTGCCTTTCTAATTTCTTGATGTAGACACCGAGTGCTGTGCTCTTAACACTGTTTTAGCTGTATCCCGTAAGTTTTGATGCATCGTCATTTGCTTCCAGAAATTTTTTGATTTATTCAATGACCCACTGTTCATTCAGGAGCATGTTGTTCAGTCTCCATGTGTTTACCTATGTTCTAGAGATTCTTGAGTTGATTTCCAGCTTCATTCCACTGTGATTCAAGAGGATGTATGGTATGATTTTGATATTTTTGAATTTGCTGAGACCTGCTTTATGGCATAACTTGTGGTGTATCATAGAGAAAGTTCCATGCATTGGTGAGAAGAACGTGTATTCTGCATCTGTAGGATGAAAAGTTCTGTAGATATCTGTTAGATCCATTTGGTATGTATTGTCAATTAACTGTGTTATTTGCTTGTTGATTTTCTGTCTGATCTGTCCATTGCTTAAAGTGGGATATTGGAGTCCCCCATTACTACTGTATTAGAGTCTATGTCTCCCTTTAGATTCATCAACATTTTTTTAAGCAACCAGGTGACCTGTAATGAGGTGCATATACATTTATAATAGTCACATCTTCCTGTTGAACTGATCCCTTAATCATACATAGTGCCCTTCTTTGCATATTTTAACAGTTTTTGTGTTAAAGTCTATTTTGTCTGATATTAGGATGGCAACACCAGCTCTTTTTTGGTTTCTGTTAGCATGGAATATCTTTTTCCATCCTTTCACTTTCAGTCTGCATGCATCTTTCTTGGTGAGATGTGTTTCTTGTAGGCAGCAAATAGATGGGTTTTATTTTTTAATCCAGACAGTCTGTATCTTTTAACTGGAGACCTGAGGTCATTTACATCCAAGGTGACTAATGATAAATAACGACTTGACTTGGCCCTGCCATTTTTCCATAAATATTCCTATTGTTTCCTTTGGATTTCTTTTGTACTTTTACTTCACTTTCTTTCATAGTGATGACCATGTTTTGTGTTTCTTTATGTAGCAACTAGGACTAGAAATGGTGCCTGCATGGGATGCCAGCACTGCAGGAGGCATTTTTACCCACTACACCATAGCGCCGGCCCCAACATATTCTTTTAATTTCTGTTTGTTATGGAAGGTCTTTATTTTACCTTCATTCATAAATGACAGCTTTGCAGGGTACAGTATTCTGGGTTGACAGTTTTTTCCTCTTATAAATTGGAATATATCTCACCATTCTCTCCTAGCCTGTAAGGTTTCTGATGAGTAGTCAGCTATGAGTCTAACTGGAGATCCTCTGAAAGTAACCTGGCATTTCTCTCCTGCATCTTTTCCACATGTTTTACTGTAGGGAGTTTACAATTTGTCACAGTGAAGATCTTTTCTAGTCATGTCTATTAGGAGTTCTATGTGCTTCCTGTACTTGGACATCCCTTTCTCTGTCCAAATTGGGGAAAGTTTTGTGTAATTATTTCATTAAAAAGGCCTTCTAATCCATTCTCTCTTTCCACAGCTTCAGGAACTTCTAAAACCTATCTATTGGGTCGCTTATGAGTATCCCATAAATCTCCAACAGTGTTTTTCAGTTTTCTAATTTCTTCTTTTTCTTTTGGTCTGAATGTAAAATTTCCAGATACTTCTCTTCATATATTCTTTCTTCTGTTTCACCAAGTCTGTTGTTAAGGCTTTCCAGTACATTTTTTGACCTCCTGAATTTTTCATTTCTAATATTTTGATTTCTCTTTGAATAGTCCATTTCATGGGAAAATTTTTCATTCATGTCATGTACATATTTCTTTACCTCTTGAATTTGCTTTTGATCACTTTTAAGTAATTCTACAATCAATTTTTTGAATTCCATTTGGCATTTCATCAATCTCTTCATCTTTACATTTTAGTACTGAAGTGCTATGTTCTTTGGGGGATGTCATGTTATCTTCCTTATTCTTGTTTCTTGAATTGCTGTTTATTATTAGGCATCTGTGGTGACAGTTTTTGTTCTTATTTTTTTCTCTGTGATGGCTTTTATCTTTGGACTATGCCTTTGTGGAGTGTCTGCTCTTTCAGTGAATATATACAGGCATGAGTTGGGTGTAGTCAAGAAGTTCTGTTCAGTGCTCCAGGGTGAGGGGAGTCCCCAAGGTTACACCCATGTTGGGCATGGTAAATATTTATTATTATTATTATTATCAGAGGGGAGGTTTATTCTGCTCTGTTGGTGTAGACTCAGCTCATCACCTCCTCTCCTCAAAGTAGACCAATGCCTGGGTGCTAGCCCTAGTAGATACAATTTTCATCCAAGCTGCCACAAGAACACCCAAAGGATCTGTGCAGTTCTCGGTGTAAACCCGGATCCTGAAGCAGTGACCCTCACTAGGCAATCGGGGAGCCCTGAACATGTGCAACCGCCCACAGTGACTGCCCCAAGTCCCAGCCACACCCTGCGCCCTCCCATGCAGTCCCATCCTGGCACACAAGGCTCCCACAGTTACAAGTCCCCAGTACCCTGTCAGTTCTCCCAGCCAGACTCAGGCATCTCCTCTCAGCTGGTTGCTGGGCATGCAGACATGAGCTGGAGCAGCTGTTACGTATGTTCACTGGCTAGTTACAGGGCACTGGTGCCAGGTGGTTGTGCACAGAGAAACGCGCCCCATTTTTTTCCCTCTAGGTTGGCAGGTATACTGTCCTCCACAGGGCTCCAAGTTGGATTCACACCAGGCTCTTCCCACAGCTTTATCACCATTGGCTTGGGCTGCTGCAGTCTGGTCTCACCTCACTCTCCAAAGCTGGTGCTGAGGCTCTCGGCTGCTGGGGTCCTGAGTTGTGCACATCTACACCCTCCACCTAGGTCCGTGGTGTCCCTCTTAATTTGTATGGAGTTTCCTCTGCCATTTTCTCTTCCCTGAGATTGCACTCTCTCCACTTCTTTAACTATCTTCCCCTAGTCTAGAGCAGTAAGCTCCTTCCATAATACACCATCTTGAAAACTCCTGTATCCATTTTTTAAAAAAATATTTTGAACCTTTCTTTTCTACCAGGAAGTAATCATACATGATGAATTTGCCAAGTGAAAGCATCGTCTGTGAGGCAGTTTGGAGAAGACCAATTCAGAAGTACGTGTGTTACATCTGCCCTGGCCACTGGCTGTTCCTTGGAGCCCCTTTTCAGAGGCACATTTGAACATGGGCTTCGCAAGGCTTGCAGTCACAAAACAGCTTCTCCCAAAAGTACTGTTCACTTAGACTCAGCCTGGGCTGAAGAGTCAGTGAGAAGTTAGCAGCAAAAGCTTAGGGGAGGGGGCCAGCGCTGTGGCGCAGCAGGTTAAAGCCAGCGTCCCATATGGGTGCCGGTTCTAGTCCCAGCTGTTCCTCTTCCTATCCAGCTCTCTCCTATCACCTTGGATAGTAGTGAAAGATGGCCCAAGTCTTTGGGTCCCTGTACCCATGTGAGAGACTCAGAAGAAGCTCCTGGCTCCTGGCTTTGGATAGGCACAGCTCCGGCCATTGCAGCCATCTGGGGAGTGAACCAGTGGATGGAAGACCTCTCTCTCTTCTCTACCTCTCTCTGTAACTCTTTCAAATAAATAAAATAAATCTCTAAAAAAATTATTTAATAAAAAGCTTAGGGGAGGTCTTCAAAGCAAAGTAGAACCATAGATGTGTTTATGAAGAACTCCATGCTGGAGGAGGACGGTGCCTCTTCAGGAGTTGGGTTCACGAGCGCACTTACCTTTTTCAGGTCTGCTGAAAGAGGGGACGTGTCAATGGTCAAGCAGGGCTCGATCCTGTTCCAGAGCACTGCAACAGGCGGTTGCACAGCCGACTTCAACTTCTGCAACTAAGCAGATACAGGTATCACACAACCATGTCTGCCCTGAAGTACAGGGTAGCAACAACTTTACAAAACTGGAAAAAAAAAAAAAAGTTCACAGTGTGAAAACCCAAGTCCATTAACTTAAAAAATGCACCCACACTGCCAAGTTGAAAACACAATAACCAAATACCTAAAGAAGTTAAAAAAAAATAACCATTTCTTTAAAGCAGTGATTCACTGGGTAATTTCTGAAAAGGTATCTCCAGGTAAAGTCCTTCATCTATGAGTTTCTCTCCTCATACCAAGTCTGGAGGGAGAAAAGTGAGGGACTGACAGAGAAAACTGTTCCCTCTCTCTTCTAACATTTTTAGGGCCTGAAATACCTGCTGTAGATCAGAGATTCCATCAGCTCTCAAAGGGTCCGGATTTAAGAACTGCAGTAGTCTGCAAAACAGTTGAGAAGGAACGACCTGAAGGAAAAAGTGTTTGTTTCCTCCCTTGCATTGTTATTTTAATTCTTCCTAAGTAGAGGTAAAATGGACTACACATCCCAAGGCAAAGCTATAAAATCATGGCTTGCCCTGTTGTGTCTGGTTTATGAAGACGCCAGCCCATGGGAGCCATGCCAGCTGCATGCTTCCCACTTCCCACCCCGAGCCTGCATCTGTGCTGCAGCAACCCTGGGCCTAGGCCCTTGTGCAGAAAGGGGGCCAGACCATGCTCGGGAATGACTGGTCTACTTCAGTATCTTTATTCTATGGCTGAGAAGACAGGATCAGGGAGGACTTGCCCACTACAGCTTCTGCTAACTCAGAGAAGAAAATCAACACTGCTTTCCTTCAGCCTAGGCCCCAGCCCCAAGTGGGTAAGGACTAGTGACAGCCACAGAGAACTCACAAGCCAGAGGAGATGGATCTCTCTCTCTCTCTCTCTCTCTCTCACACACACACACACACACACACACACACACACATATACCCAGGGGTCCTCTTTCCTGAAACTTCATTCCTGGAAATGGAGTTGCTTAATGCACAAGCTACAAGACCCAGATGTCCACTCACTGATGAAAAGACAGAGAAAATGTGCTGTATCCATGCAATAGAATATTACTCAGTCATAAAGAAGAACAAAGTACTCATCTATACTATGACAGAGATGAATTTTGAAAGCACTGTACTGAATGAAAGAAGTCAGTTACATATATTACATGTTTCCTTTTATATACAATGGTCAGAATAGGAAAACCCACAGAAAGTAGATCAGTGGTTGCCAGGGGCTACTGCAAATGGATCCGAGTTTCTTTTTGTGCTGCTGAAAACATTCTGGAATTAGACCATGCTCATGGTTGTACAAGTCTCTGAATATACTAAAGCCACTGAACTATGTACGTTTTAAAGTACATGAGGGTGGGGCCGGCACTGTGGCTCAGTGGGTTAACACCCTGAAGCGCCGGCACCCCATATGGGCACCAGTTCAAGACCTGGCTGCTCCATTTCCCATCCAGCTCTCTGCTATGGCCTGGGAAAACAGTAGAAGACGGCCCAAGTCCTTGGGCCCCTACACCCGTGTGGGAGACCCGGAAGAAGCTCCTGGCTTTGGATTGGCGCAGTTCTGGCCGTTGCAGCCAATTGGGGAGTGAACCATCTGATGGAAGATCTCTCTCTCTCTCTGCCTCTCTTCTCTCTGTGTAACTCTGACTTTCGAATAAACAAATCTTTAAAAAAATAAAGTATATGAGGGTACATCAAGAAGTTCATGGAAAATGGAATTAAGAGATAGAGTCTTGATACAAAACATTTTTGAATTCCATGTATAGCTTTTTGCAAAATATGCATTCCTGTGAACATTTTGAAGACCCTTATTAATACTTTACAGGGTAAACTCTTGTTATATACTATCTCAGTAAAGTTATTTTTAAAGACAAAGAGAGAATCATAGAAGAGACAACATTCCAAAACAAAACCTTACAAGACAGAAAACAGATGGGCAGGTGGTTAACTGCCATGGCCAACCCAAGACAAATGATGCTGAGCTAGCCACAGGAGGCTCAACTCTATCTACACAGAGAAATCTCCAGAAAGTCCAGGGTTGAGGACCAGGCTCCTTTGGTTATGGCAACATCACAGGGAACTAAACAAAGAGGGCAATCTCTGGATCCCCTGGTTCTTCTCAGTGCTCCCACCCTAGGGTACTATCAGGGGCTGGTTCTTGGGAGACAATGAAAGCAGTCTTCACACTGGGGCACCAGAGGCACAGCCGAGGAGGAAGTGTTACCAACTCCAGGTTCTCTGACTCACTTGCAAGCAGCATTTGGCAAGAGGCCACCGTGCAACCCAGACAAGGCTTACTGGGGGCTTATCCTCAAACACTAGAGACAGCACAGCAAGAAGAGGTTTCGCCACCCGACTCCCTCACGGGAGCTGAACAGGTACTTTTACAGGGTTGAGGAGGTGTGAACTCCCCACACACAGCGTGTGGATCAGCACCCAGACTGCACTTCTGGTTCATTCTCCTTGGCACATGCCATTTTCGTTTGGTTTGCACTTAGCTCAGTGCTCTGTGTAGGTGACTATGGGTTTCTGTACACATGACACACTCAAAAAACAGTGTGCTACTCACTACCATCACCCCAGGAAGGCCACATACGGGTCACCCAGGGGTGTTCTGGGCAGGCATGCAGACTGGGGAAGTTCCTATCATGGCAGTAGGGGATCTTCTGCAGTCAGGGTTTAGATAGTCCTTGTTCCTGACTGGTTTGGAGCTGGGGATGGACACACAGTAAGTCAGGAAGAGCTTAAGGAGAGGGGGACAAAGGTCTCATCGTGTGTAGTGCTGTCTGCTGAGGAAGGACAGCTGAACTCTAAACCTTGGAGGTGTAAAATCCCTTGCCCTCAATTAGACCTTGGCTCTTCTGATGGAGGGGTGGGTGACAGCCCCAGCCAGTGTCAGCCTGACACAGAGCTGCTGGAGCTCATCTGTTCTTCCCTTGAGGAGATGTCTCAGCTCCATCACTGGCTCGCAGTAGTAGGTGGGCTCCTTGGGAGCGGCCTATGGGGCTTAGAAGAGACCTGCTTTACTGGGAGAGGTAGGCCCAGCTGGGGACTCCTTTGCATTTTACTGCAGTAAGGGTGGCCAAGATCCCTCAATAATGGTCCTTTCCACTCTAAGTTGTAAGCAAAACCTGGTCCCCTGGTTGAAACTGGGCATGGGATGATGTCTCCTGAGGAGCTGGCAAACCTGCGCTCCATGTTCCAGGATGACTCTCGACCTGTCCCGGGTTGATCAGGCCCCTGTCAGTGAGGTCAGTGGTAAGGAAAGGTCTTCCACACATCACACCCCTGGGGGCAGTGTGGACCCTGAGGATTGCTTTGGGAAGCTTTTGGTCCATGGTTTGTGTGTTTCTTGGCAGAGCGTGGCTATGGTTTTCTCAAGGATGTGATTCATTTGCTCAACCTTTCCAGTACACTCGGGGAGCCAGGAGGCATGTAACTTATGGCACATTCCTGGGGGCCTGAGAGGGTCTGGGCAACATTTGCTAGGAAGGACGGCCCATTATTACTCTGGAGGGATTGAGTCTAAAATGAGGGATTATCTCCCAAAAGAGGAGTCTACAAAGTTCTACGGCCTTTTCAGTGCAGTGGGAAGGCACCCTCCACTCTGTAAAGGTACAGGTGAACACCAAAAAGTACTGGAGTCCAGATCTAGGGAGCATCTTGTAAAACCCATCTGTCAGTCTTCTGGGTGTGTCCCTCCATGGTGGAGTGGTTTTATCAATGAAGGTAAGACAGGATGGTCTGGGGGATTATTGTGGACACATGACTTCACAGGGCAGGGTCACCTACTTTATGGTTTTTCCCTGTAAAGACCCCATAGATCAGTTTCTACCAGTTCTCTCTCCCACAGCGGGCAGCATCATGGAAGAGTTTAATGAGCTTCTGTTGGTCTGATCCTGGGAGAACTCCACTATTTTTGAGGAACCACTGATATCCTCATCTCGTATCCCAACCTCAGCCTCCTCATATTCTTGCTGGGGCTACTGGGGATGGCTGGGGAACGTGGAAGGATCTATTATTGGGGTCAGCACCTTGTCAGGCTCCGCAGGCTGATCCCCCTCCCCCGTTTGGTGGCCTTCTCTTCCTACTGTTTCCCTGGTCCACGCTGGATGCATCCTCTCAGTAAACAACTGCCACCTGCTGAGGAAGCTGAGCTGCCTCTCAAAGAAGCATGATTAGGTCTTCATGTTTAATACCAGAGTTTTCAGCTCATGACATTCCCCTTTCCTACCATATGGGTGGTGTGGGCATGCAGTTACCAGAAACCTGTACTTTGAATAGGTATAAATATTGAATGTTTTACTTTTTCCCAATTATAAGGCCTGAATCTGAGCGATCAGTTTGTCCTCTTGGTCTGAGGTTTGGGGTGATAGTGCTCCTGCTCTATGGCATCAGTTAAACTCTCCACAGCATAGCCTGCCACCCACACTGCTCCCTCTGTAACAGCCCTTCCATCCGTGTGCCATTCAGCACGCAGGTTCTCGAGGGGCTCGTCCCAGAGGTCAGGCCTGCTAGAGGAGGTCTGTCTTACAGTGACGCTGCAGGCCCCTCACCTGGGCTGCAAGGTGGACGTATGTTCAGGTTGGACAACACACTGACACTGCGGGCCCCTCACCTGGGCTGGACAACACACTGACGCTGCGGGCCCCTCACCTGGGCTGGACAACACACTGACGCTGCGGGCCCCTCACCTGGGCTGGACAACACACTGACGCTGCGGGCCCCTCACCTGGGCTGGACAACACACTGACACTGCGGGCCCCTCAGGAGGTCTGTCTTACAGTGACGCTGCAGGCCCCTCACCTGGGCTGCAAGGTGGACGTATGTTCAGGTTTAAGAGTCTGACAGACCTGTCAGGGCAATCTGGTAGAAGTCTTCTTCCTGTCAGCCAATGGTGCCCTTTGACTTCTAACACTGTCTGCACCTGTTGAAGGGTTTGTGCCTCTATGGGTTGTCCCAGCATCAATTTAGAGGCCTTGTTGACCAACAAGGGAATGGCAGCTCTGTTCTTAGGCAACTGGGCTATCCCTGAACCAGAGAGCTCAGTGGTTCTGAAAAGAATGCACCAGTCTCTGGATAGGTCTTAGCCTTTGAATCAGAACTCCTAAGGCAGCTCCTAACCTACCAGACATAAAAATGAATGGCTTTTCTAGGTTTGGAAGTCCTAGAGCCACGGCGTAGCCCAGCTCTGGCTGTAGGGCCTCCAAGGCCTGCTAGCATTCCGGGTTCCAGAGGTACTTGCTCATCATGCTTTCATGCTTCACATAGGGGTTTTGCCAATAATCCATAACTTGGGATCCAGATGCAGCAGAAACCTGACATTCCCAGGAATCCCTGAAGCTGTCCTAGTTTTGGGCACCAACAGGAAATAACTGCTTTTTTCTATTCCACAGTTAGGACACAAGACCCTGGGTCTACATGTAGACAAACTTGGGCTTTTGAGGGGGAGACTTTGTACCTTATTTATTTTTTATAGTATTATAATCAGAATCTCACTGAGAGGGGCTGGTGATCACAAACCATCTACCTATGATACTAAGGACCATTTTTAGGGTGAGTTCTCTCAGTTCTGTAAGATGGTCCCAAATGGTGGGTCTATCTCTGAAACTCTGAGGAGGCATGGTATAAGTGGACTGTATAGTTTCCCGAGTGTCCAGGTTTCTATACACAAAGGCAAAAAGGTATTAGGACTCTGAGTTAAGAGGAATTAATTTAAAAAGGCATCTTTTTGGTTCAGGACAGTATATAAATGAACCTTTCCTCTCCAGGTATCTGAGTAAGTAGAGTGTATGTGTTTGGGATAACATAGTGACAGGAAAAACCGCCTCACTCACTACCCACAGGTCCTATACTAAGCAGTACTCCCCATTTGGCTTCCTGACTGGGAGAACCAGGGTGCTGCAGGGTAAACTGACAGGCTTAATCAATCCAAGCTCCAGGGACTTCCAGAGCAGGGGCAGATTCCTTTCGTGGCCACTGTCTGATGGGTACTGTCTCTTTCACGGATATTCTACTGGGGAAATGTTATGGGCTAGCCCTGGGGTGGAAGTGTCCCATACAGATGGGTCTACTTGATCTTTAACACTCTCAGGAACACTGGCATGTTCTGGGTTCTTGGGGTTGAGAAGTACTGACAGGCAGCTGCCTGTGATGGCTCACCATCATTTGTACCTGGTCCTTTCTAGGGAGACAGCAACCCCAAGTTTAGCTCAGGAACATATAAAAGGGAGTGGGTTAGACTGGTCTCATAGGCAAGGGGGGAAGTAAACTCTTACCTTAGGTTGACTGTCTGCACCTGTTACCATGCAGTCGCAGTTGGAGAGGGGGCCGACAGGATGAGTCAGGACAGAGTAGGCGGCTCCGGTGTCCACAAGGAACTCAGTTCCCCTACCTGCCACTTCTAGAGTGCCTGGGGTTCTGCTGGAGTGATGGTGAAGGATCGTGCTGAAGTCGGAACCGAGCAGGTGCCTGGGTCTCATCAGGAGGTGACTGCCTGCCTCCCATCCAAGAGGCTGGCCAGGAGGGGTCTCTTGCCAGGGTCCCCCAGTGGCCCTCTAGCCTGCAATAGGCACTCTGGCTGCATCTGTGGCTGGTGTACCCTCTCTGGTTGTCTGGTCTTCTGGGCTTTTGGGGGTTCCTCCTGGAGTGGCTAATTAATCAGGGCAGCAGAAAGCTGCACCACTTTAGCCAATCTATTACCTCTGCTCATCTCCTCTGTCCTGTCTCAACTGCTGGAAGACCCTGAAGTCCTCCTCCGCCATGATCAACAATCGGGTCTGAGGTCCTGCCTCAGTGTTTGTTTCTTCTAATGTCGGGGCTGCCTGAATAATAAAACACCCAGCAAGTAAGGCTCACACTCAGCAGAGTCGGGATCTGTGCTCATGTATTTCCTAAAGGCCTCGGTGAGCCAGCCCAAAAAGCTGGCTGGTTCTCTTCCTTTTCCTGAATGGTCCCTGTTAACTGTGTCATAATTAACAGGCTGCATCACACACCTTTTCATCCCCTCTGTTATAAGGCAATAAGCTGTGCCATCCTGTCTCTCAGTCTGATCTACAATCCCACTGTGTTCCTGATCTGGAACCACTCTGTCCCTACCTGGGATACTGAGTGGTGACAAAACTGGTTGCTCGTTCTCTGGCCTTCTTGAGGAAATGCACTGGGGGCACAACAAACAACAATATCTTGCCTAGTAAGAGGGTCAAACTTAGCTTGGTAAATTCACCCCTAAACCTCCACTATCTCAGAAAGACAGCTAAACTGTTCTTGAGGTAGTCCCAGCTCAGTTACTGAGAAAGAAGCATGGACTTTGGGACTCCACCTTCCCCACCTGCTACTCCTCTTAAAAGAAAGCAGTCTGGGTCGTAGAAGGTGGGGTGGGAGAGAAGACAGCTGTTTCTGCAGCCCAGTGGAGGCCCATCAGGAAGGGGACACAGGTGGGTTGTTCCTGATGGTGGTTGTGAAGGGGTGGAAGGCATGGAGGAGGTGACACCAGGGTTAGCGTCTGGGATGCCAACAGGATGAGGACAAAGTGGTAGAAGCCAATGGGGGTCAAGGAGTTGGGGTTCTAAAGATGAGGTCAGTAACTAACGGTCACGGACTGCAGGACGGGGTGCCTAGGAACAGCAGCCATGCAGCCTCAACAGGAATCATGAAGCTTGGGGTCCTGACAGAGCTTCAAAAAAATCTTGACCACAAGGAATTTCTCCACATTTTCCCTCAAAACACAAAAACCCAGTTAAAGAATGGTGTTATAAATTAGTGACCTGTTCATGGGCCATGTCTCTTGATCCTCTCCTTGTACTGAGGTCATACCATGTTGAATAAAAAGTAACTTTTTCCTTTTTAGCCATCCAACCTAAACTGTTCCCAAGTGTTTAAGATGCAACCCAGGGACAGTGCCTGGGATACTTGAAGTGTTTCCCATATGGGCCCTTCAATGGAGTCTGTGGTCTATTATTAAAGGTCCTGGGACTGGGTATTGTCTCCACCAGTGGACAGCTATCCATGAATACAAGCACCCTGGTCCTGACCCACCTGCAGATATAAGCAGCGAGAAACAAAGTAATAGTCAAGATCAGAGAGGCAGAAGGATCAGGAGGAAAAATCTCAAATCTGCCTCTATGGACTCTGTGTGGTAGGGGATGATCCCCACCAGTTCTCCATGATCCCTGCTGGGTGATATCCATGGGGCACCTGAATCTGAATGGCTTAGAAGTTCCAGCCACCTTGCAGGTAGTGGGAGCCATGGCTGGAGGGCAGGAGCAAGATGATGTCCTGGGAGGCAAGATCAGAGTAAAAGGACATCGACTGGGAGTTTTCAGACAGGACTAAACCAAAACCAAAACCAAAGCTGCAGCTCCAGCAGTCAGCTGTGTTGATTCTACCCAGTAACCAGAGTGCACAGGGGCAACCCACCTGTCCCCTGCTGCGTGATCAGTGCCAGAAGCCAACAGTTCCAACCCACCCCACATGATGTCTGCTAAGGTGCCTCAAATCAAAATCCAAAACTAAAACCAAAAACCAAGCCCGAGGACTTAAAGAGGAAAAAGAGAGGAAAGAAAAACAGGTGAGAGGAAAGAAAAACAGTGGGTGAGGTAAGCTGGGATTCTGGGAGGTCAGAGAACTCTCCAACAGCAGAGACCCTGAAGCAAAGGCACAGGCAGCCAGTGCCCCACTGAGAGAGGGTTCCATCTGTCTGTACACCCACCAACCCTCACCTTCCCCAAGGGGAAATACTCCCTTTGCCAGGTTCCAACCAGAAACATGTTACTGACCCCAGGTTCTTTGGCTCACCTGCAAGTATCAACGCACAAGAGGCCAATGTGCAACCCACACAAGATTCGTTGGGGGTCTTGTGTTGGAGCACAAGGTGGAAAGCATGGCATGAAGAGGTTCTGCCAACTGGTTCTCCAACAGTAGCTGAACAGGTACTTTTATGGGGTTGGGAAGGTATGGTGGCTCCCTGTTGGCACTCTGCACCTGGTTTAGTGTCCTGTGCAGAGGTGCTCTTGTGTTTTTTTTTGCACACAACACCTTCAAAATGGTGGCGTTACTACCACCACCCCAGGAAAGTCACCTATTGTTGCATGAGTTACAGGGGGCAGGTACAGGTTGAGGAAGTCCTTTAGCAGGGCCGCAGGGGTCGTCTGTGGTTAGGATCTGATGCTCCTTGCTCCGATTGGTTTCAAGCTGGATATGGACACATGTCAGGTTGGGAGAGGCTTGACTGCATAGCCCCTGCTTCCATCCTGTCTCAGAAGGACTGTACTTAGAAAGAGGGAGGTTAAGCTAACAACTGAAAAATGACAGTTTGATTGGCTTCTGTCACTCAGCACCCAGGACCCTGGCAAGCAGATCTTGTCCCATGGCAAGAGACAGGAGGACTTTTCCTGGGGCATCTGACCTACTGAGGAGGAAGGACTAGAGACAGACTTCAGAGGTTCCCCCACAGCAGCTAACTCCACGATGAGACTCACAGTCAACGAGCTGTTGGGCACTCAGAAGCCTTAGGAGGCTGGTTAGGCCCCTACATGAAAATAAAAGCAGACAAAGACCACAGCCATCTAGGGAAAACCTCTCACCTTGCAGAGACAAAAATAACTGTATCTTGCAAAAATTAGAAACACTACAGGGAGAAGAAGTCTCCACAAAATTAGTAGTATCCTTAGAGAAATAAGAGAAAACATCACTAAGAGGAAACAAGGGTGGGACATCACATAAGAGAAAAATCCAGCAAAATACAATTTAATATTTGAAATTAAAGACTCAGTAAAATTAGAAGATAAAGTTATGAAAATGTCCCAAAAGTAGAGCAAAAAGAGATGAAATAACAGAAGAAAAAATGTATTTGTATTTTTAGCATTTTTTAATTCATTTGGAAGACAGGCAGAGAGAATCTTCTATACATTACTTCATTCCCCCAAAAGCCTGCAATAGTAAGGGCTGGACCAGGCCAACACCAGGACTCCATCCAGGTTTCCTACATGCAAATGCACTTGGGTCATCACTGGCTGCTTCCTGGGGTACAAATTAGCAGGAAGTTGGAGTCAGAAGCAGATCCAGGACTCAAATCCAGGCACTCCAATATGGAATGTAGGTGTCTCAAGTGGTATATTAACTGCAGCACCTTACATTTTCTCCAGAAGAATATTAAAGAAAATTTTCCATGACCAGTTCAGGAAATCCAAGATGTGACTCATGGTTCTTGAAAGACAAGAATGTGGTGCAGAAGAGATCAATAAAACAGAAAGGCAAGAGTACTTTCCAAAGTGAGAGACATGAGTTTACCAATGAATAGGATCCACTGGCACTGCAGCATGAAATCTCCCCACACTGGCTCTAACGGGAGAACTGGTTAGTTTCCAAAGAGTTTAAGAAAATGCTTTATGGTTTATTTTCTTTTTCTTTCTTTTCTTTCTTTTTCTTTTCTTTCTTTGACAGGCAGAGTGGACAGTGAGAGAGAGAGAGACAGAGAAAGGTCTTCCTTTTGCCATTGGTTCACCCTCCAATGGCCGCCGCGGCCGGCGCACCATGCTGATCCAATGGCAGGAGCCAGGTGCTTCTCCTGGTCTCCCATGGGGTGCAGGGCCCAAGCACTTGGGCCATCCTCCACTGCACTCCCTGGCCACAGCAGAGAGCTGGCCTGGAAGAGGGGCAACCGGGACAGAATCCGGCGCCCCGACTGGGACTAGAACCCGGTGTGCTGGCACCGCAAGGTGGAGGATTAGCCTAGTGAGCCGCGGCGCCGGCTGGGAAATTCTTAAAATCAGATTTTCCTGGTATTCATTTGTTCCAGATCACTGAAAAAGGAGAACTCTGAAAGGCCGGGAAGATTCTTAAATAAGGAATCAGAAAGGAGAGGACCTCTCAGCAACAGAAGCTGGAGACCAGAGGATGAAGCAGAAATGCATTCAAAATGTTCACCCACTCTATGGATCAAGTGTGCCGATAGTTTAAAAGCATTTAGGGGAAGTTTCAAAAATTGTATCTTTCATGTTTCCCTTCTCTGGAAGTTACCAAAGGATGTTTTCTACCAAAATAAGAGAGTAAAACCAAGGAAGAGAAAGCTGCCAAACATGGAGCTCCTCAGGCACAAACCAGGGCAGGCCAGAGGCTCTGGGGAGGTCTCCAAGGAGACACAAGTAAGAGCTACATCAGTAAACAAACACATATTCTCTCTTTCTCTCTCTCTCTCAAACACATATTCTCTTTCTTTCTCTCTCACACACACACACACACACACACACACACACAGGAAAAGCAACAGAAGATAAGGAACTCCATCACTCTCGGTTCTGTGCTCAGAGCCTGTGGACACTGAATGTCCATCTCACAGAATCAGGATGTCGGAGGATGGGATCATGGGAGGAACACATGTGACTTCAAGAGGGAAGAGAAGTGGTAACCAGAGCTCACCAGCCAGTGTACTCTGGCAGAGCACTCTGGTTAGGAAAGACAGCTGCCCAGCATCAGGATTCCACAGCCTCTGTGAAGCTCATTTCAGTCTATAAAGCTTTACTAAGCACTGGTGATGAAACCCTGATATTGAGACAGTATTATAAAGAATACATGTGTTTGGGGGCTACCATTGTGGTGCAGTGGGTTAAGCTGCGGCTTACAACAATGGCATTGTTGTGCCAGTTCAAGTCCCAGCTGCTCTGCTTCTAATTCAGCTTCCTGCTGATGGGCCTAGGAAGGCAAGAGAAGGTGGCCCAAGCACTTGGACCCCTGCCACCCATGTGGGAGATCTGGATGGAGTTCCTGGCCCAGAACTGCCTGTTGGAGTCATTTGAGGGGAGTGACTCAGCAGATAAATCTCTCAAGTTCCCCCAACCCTTTGCTGCCCAACAGCTATGCCTTTCAAACAAATAAATGTATCTTTAAAAAGAACACATGTATTTAGAGAAAAATTTCCATTTTAAGTAAGCGGGTAGTACAAAGTAGGCAAATGTGAAAATGTTTAATGGTAGACAATAATAAAGAACATATTATAGTAAGAATGAGACAGAGGAAAGACAGGCTAAGAAATGAAAAGAAAGCCACAGGGTCATAGACATTCCAGATGACACACAGGAGCCAACTGGCCAGCACTTCATTCTCCCTGCACCCAGACCACCTCCTTAAGCATTCGTGAAAGTACTCTCCCTGGCACTTCTGGCTGCAGCAACAACACCCTCTTCACAATAATGCTGTGGAGAGCTGCTACCAACCACATGGAGCTGAAATTCACCACCATTCCCAGCAGACACCGAGGGCCCCTGCTGAAGCTGATGACAGGCTAGAAATCGCACCTCAGGCACAATCTAAGCAGCTTAGACTACACCAAGGGGAGCAGCTTCTCTTGCAGTTATGGGCCCTTCAACTCTGGAGTGGATCCTGACACTCTCCTTGCCACCCAATGATCCAAGAACCCAAAGGACAAGTGGCATGCATTCCCAGAATGGGCAAGAAGACTGACTCTGGGGTGGCCTCTTCCTGAGCTCACTATAATTTGGAGGTTTCAAAATGAGTTATGTGAAAGACATAATTCTAAGGAGAAAGAAACAGAATTGTATGATGGTACTTACAGACTGAGCAACACCATCAGTGCCAGAAACTGGCAGGAAAAGCAAACAAGCTTCAAACAGAGGAGGCTGGTGGATGCTCGACCTTGAACACCGTCCTTACTGGCCGGGCAGTATGTGTCACCTTTCCTGACGTTATTACCGTTTTCAACACAGATTTCATTACAGGGCTGTGACACCTGCAGATCATACTTGAGAAAAGGACGTCTCTTTTTCAGGTTGCCCTCACCAGAGGGCCAGATATGACCGGCACTCGGTTCCCCAGGCTTTGGACATGGCACGGCCAGTCAGGCCGCTCACTCTGGTTGAGGTTTCTAGGAAACCCACTGCTTATTCCTTCTCTTCTGTTTAATCTTGAGCCACTTCAAGGTTCCACCGTAAATAAGACTGCTAGAATAACTGATGTCATTTAACCACAGGGTTCTAAGTAAAAGACACTGAGTGAGAGACAAGACAGAATTTTCGAATATAGAAATAAAAGGGAATAACATTCAAGAGTTAATTTAGCAGGTTATAATTTAAAACAGAAGAAATCAACTGCAGGGAGACATAAAATCAGGTGCATTAACAGCTACCTCCAGATCTGTGGACTCCATGGCAGCCTTCAAAGTCTGGTCCTGGACTTCTGCGAGGAGCTCCTGCTATGCCAGAGGCCTCTGGGGGTACAGCTAGCACCACCCCCACTTCAACTCCCTGGCCCAGTCAGTGGATAGATTAGGACCCACTCACCTCCCAACTTTCTGCCATTCTAGTGGCTCCAGTGTAGCTGTTGCTATTTCAAATATAAAACTGCTTAGGCTGGTATAGTAATAATAATAAAGAAAACTGACAGGAAAATATTTTGTGGACCACACGAGTATATAATTTACTGTTCTGCTGCCAACAGTTCTCCAGCAGGTAGGAGACCTGTTTAACCCCATAAAACTAGGAGGAAAACAAACACCAACCCATAGAGAATCAACAGCCCCAATTTTGTCTACTTCATTTTATAAACCTGTTCACTTCACAAGAGAATCAGGAATGTGAAGGAAACGACATTCTGGAACAAAGCCCCAAACAGAGACACTGTTGATCAGGAAGGAAAAGCATAGCTCAGAGCCTGCAGGAGTCTTACTGTATAGATATTTTCTGATGAGAACATAGGTTTGAAATTAATAATAAAATATATCAATTCCTCCTTATAATTTTATTACAATCATTTCAATAAACAATTCAGGCAAACAAAAACTCTTACTTCACACAGCCATTCTTCTCATCATAATCCTTCTTCTCAGCCAGGCAAAGTGGTTTCTCATTTGGTTTCTGACTTGAAGCACTAGAAATCAAAAAGCATTGTTAAAAATTTGTGAACCTATTTGCCCCAATTTTGAAGATATCTTGGGGCTGGCGCTGTGTGCAGCAGGTTAACGCCCTGGCCTGAAGCGCCGGTATCTCATATGGGTGCTGGTTCTAGTCCCGGCTGCTCCTCTTCCAATCCAGCTCTCTGCTGTGGCCTGGGATAGCAGCAAAAGATAGCCCAAGCCCTTGGGCCCCTGCACCCACGTGGGAGACCTGGAAGAAGCTCCTGGCTCCTGGCTATGGATCGGTGCAGCTCTGGCCATTGCACCCAATTGGGGAGTGAACCATTGGATGGAAGACCTCTCTCTCTGCCTCTCCTCTCTCTGTGTGTAATTCTGACTTTCAAATAAATAAATAAATCTTCAAAAAAAATGAGAAAAACTACATCAAGACAAATAATAATTAAATTGCTCATACTGGTACTATCGATAAAATCTTAAAAGCACTCAGAAGAAGAGACATATGGCAAACAGAGGAACAGAGAAAAAGATGACAGACTTTGCACCAAGAATGATACAAGCAAGAAGGCAGAAGAGCAGTAAGTTTAAAATACAGCAAAGAAGGGACTGTCAATGTAGAATTCTAGACCAAGTGAAAATATTGTTTTCCAAAGTGAAACTACTAATTTTTTCAGACATACAAAGCTAAAAGAATTCATCACCAGCAGTTATCTGGTTTAGAGGCAAATGTTCCAACTTAACTACATACTAAGGCTACAGTGTAGTTAGTTAAATCTTTCTGAAAGATACCTGAGTGTTTAAATCAAAGTCATTTTCAAGACATACTAAAAGGCAGTCATAATCAAAACAGCTTGGTACTGGTACAAAAACAGATGGATAGACCAATGGAACAGAATAGAAATGCCAGAAATCAATCCAAGCATCTACAATCAACTTTATATTTGACCAAGGAGCTAAAACCAATCCCTGGAGCAAGGACAGTCTCTTCAACAAATGGTGCTGGGAAAACTAGATTTCCACATGCAGAAGCATTAAGCAGGACCCCTACCTAACACCTACACAAAAATCCACTCAACATGGGTTAAAGACCTAAATCTACGACCTGATAGCATCAAATTATTAGAGAATATTGGGGAAACCCTGCAAGACATTGGCACAGGCAAAGAGTTCTTGGAAATGACCCCAGAGGCACAGGCTATCAAAGCCAAAGTTAACAAATGGATTACATCAAATTGAGACACTTCCTTACTGCAAAAGAAACACTCAGGAAAGTAAAGAGGCAACTGAATGGGAGAAATATTTGTGAACTATGCAACTGATAAAGGACTAATAACCAGAATATATTAACAGATCAAGAAACTCCACAACAACAAACAACCCAGTTAAAAAATGCACAAAGGACTTAAACAGACATTTGTCAAAAGAGGAAAAGAGACACACGCTCAGGATCACTAGTCATCAGGGAAATGCAAATCAAAACCCCAATGAGGTTTTACCTCACCCCAGTTAGAATGGCTTTCATACAGAAATCAACAAACAACAAATGCTGGTGAGGATGTGGGAGAAAAGGTACCCTAGTCCACTGTTGGTGGGAATGTAAATTGGTAAAGCCATTATGGAAGACAGTAGGGAGATATCATATGACCTAGCCATCCCACTCCTGGGAATTTACCCAAGGGAAATAAAATCAGCAAACAAAAGAGTTATCTGCTCCCCCATGTTTACTGCAGCTCAATTAACAATAGCAAAGACACGGAATCAACTTAAATGCCCATCAACTAAAGACTGGATAAAGAAATTATAGTATATGTACTCTATGGAATACTACACAACTGTAAAACAAAAATGAAATCCAGTCATTTGCAACAAAATGGATGAGGTCCAAAAGGGACAAATACCATATATTCTCCCTGATCTGTGATAACTAACACAGCACCTAAAAGGAAATTGGTACTCTGAGAAGCAATGACTTGAACAGCACTTGTCTTGACTGTCAAGGAACATTTTTTTCTTTTCCTTAATGGATAATGGGACTGGGAATGGGTGGGGGGGAGGAGGAGGAGGAGGTGAGGTGGAAGGGCAGGTATGGTGGGAAGAGTCACTATATTCCTAAAGTCATACTTATGAAATTTGTACTCATTAAAGGTTTCTTTGGGAAAAAATGTCATAATAGATTCTAGTATATAAATACATCACATGCCATCTACAGCATATAGTCCAGGAGGGGAAAAGTAGAACACTATCTTAAGTTCTTAGACTACAAAGGAAGTGGTATAGTGTGATGGCTTTTCTGTGGTTTCTTTAATGTTATGGACACATATCTTGATGAGACAAGTTTATAGTCAAAACCCTTGATACTCATCTTTAAGGAGATGACAATCCAGGCTTTGCTCCCCACTAACTCTTAACCCCCTAAGTAATCCTGCCCTCTGGTCTGTGTATACCCATGCTCCATACCCAGACCACCCCAGGCTGGCCTTCACTGGACCTGCCTTACAGAAACTACTCTGTCCAACAAGGAAATAAGGTCATCTAGCACCCATTTTCATTGAGTTTTGTTGCTAAGCAATCATCACATGATTTTTCCTTTACATTAATATATGTTCAATCAGACAGGCATATGGCCTAGTGGTTAAGACACCAGTTAGGAGGCCCATGTCCCACATCAGAGTGCCCAGATTCCATTCCTAGCCTCAGCTCCCAATTCCAGTTTCCTGACAATGCAGACGTTAGGAGGCAGCATGATGTGAGCTGGGTTCCTGCCTGCTACACCGGAGACTTGAGTTGAGTTCTGGGTACCTGGTTTCAGCCTGGCTCAGTCCTGGTCATTGCAGGTATTTTGGGTGGGAACCAGTGGATTGGAGCTGTCTATCTCATTCCTTGTCTCTCTGCCTATATATGTATGTGTACCATTTATAAATAAATGTGAGATTATTTATTTTAAGGGCAGAGTAACAGAGACAACTAGAGACAGAGATTGTCTAGCCCTGGTCCACCTCCCAGAGGCCTGCAACAAGCATGGTTGAGTCAGGGTGAAGCCACCAGGAATGCCATCCAGGTCTCCCACATGGATGGCAGGGGCCCAGGCACTTGGGCCATCATCTGCTGCCTTCCCATGAACATTAGCAGGGAACTGGATTGGAAGCAAAGCAGCTGGAACTCAAACTGGCATTCCAATTCGGGATATGGGTGTCTCAAGTGGTGACTTAACCTGTTGTGCCACAACACTAGTCCCTTCATATCCCTGGGTTTTAATCTGTTTAATCTCTGGGTTTATTAAATCTGTGGGTTCAAGAAACCACACATCGAAAAATGCTCAGATGGGGCTGGCGTTGTGATGTAGTGGATAAAGCCACAGCCTGTGACACTGGCATCCCACATCTGTACTGGTTCGAGTCCCAGCTGCTCCACTTCCAATCTAGCTCCCTGCTAATACACCTGGGAAAGCAGCAGAGGATGGCCCAAGTACTTGGGCCCCTGGTACCCATGTGGGAGACCTGGAAGAAGCTCCTGGTTTCGGTATGGCCCAACTCCAGCCACTGTGGCCACTTGGAGAGTGAACTGGCAGATAGAAGATCTCCCTCTCTCCCTCTCTCTCTGTAACTCTGAATTTCAAATAAAGGGAGGAGAGAATTTCCACTTCTGACTATGACCTTGTCTGAATAAGATTGAAGTCGGCGAACTCAAAAGGCTTCCATAGCCCTGGCAACTCATGACTAGAGCCTAGAGAGAATACTGACTCCATAAACAAGAGTGTCAAATTGTTAAGTCAACAGCAGGAGTCACTGTGTACTTACTCCTCATGTGGGATCTCTGTCCTTAATGTGCTGTCCAATGTGAATTAAAGCTATAACTAGTACTGAAACAGTATTTTACACTTTATGTTCTGTGTGGGTGCAAACTGATGATATCTTTACTTAATATATACTAAATCGATCTTCTGTATAGAAAGATAATTGAAAATGAATCTTGATGTGAATGTAATGGGAGAGGGAGCAGGAGATGGGAGGGGTGCAAGTGGGAGGGAAGTTATGAGGGGGGGAAGCCATTGTAATCCATAAACTGTACTTTGGAAATTTATATTTACTAAATAAAAGTTAAAAAAATACTCAGAAAAAAATCTATGTCTGCACTGAACATGTGCAGATGCCTTTCCCTGTGATTATGCCCCAAACAATACAGTCTAATGACTACTGGCATAGCAGCCACGCTGTACTAGTCACAGAAGTAATCTAGAGATGATTTAGCACATGGAAATGTGCATGGGTCACACAAGAGACTCGAGTGTCTGTAGACTTTGGTTTCATGGAAACAGTCTCCCACAGAGAAGACAACATTACACTAAAGGCTCTACCCAATTACGCTGAATTTTTAAATCATACCTTGTTGCTGGGATATCTGGGTCGGCATATATGGTTATTCCTCTTTTTGTTGGCCAGTATGCTGAAGATTCAATACACTTCAATAAGAAAAAAAAAGTATGTCAGCAACATACAGATATAGACATTTCTTTTTAAATAAAAATCCATGGGAATTATTCTCAAGAGGAACCAGTCCAGGTAATTTTCATATACAAAACAATCTGCTGAGACAAAGAACGCAAAGACAGATGATTACAGGTTACACCCCTGCTGGAGTCACTAGACGGAAGAGAAGGCAGCTTTACAATGTCCCATAATGATACTCACCATTCTCGCCAAAACTACTGCAGGGCAGTTAGAACTGAAATAAACTTTTTTAAATAAAAGATTAACTTACTTAGTTGAAAGGCAGAGTTAAAGGGACAAAGGGAGAAGGTGGGAGAGAAAGACATTGATCTTCCATCCACTGGTTCACTCCCCTAATATAGCTCAACTTCCAGGACTGGGCCAGGCCAAAGGCAGGAGCCTGGAACTCCATCTAGATCTCCCACACAGGGCCCAAGGGAGGGGCCCAAACTTGGGCCATCCTTTTGCTGCTTTCCTAGGCATATGAGCCGGGAGCTGGACTGGAAGCGGAACAACAGGAACTAGAACTTGTACCCCTATGAGATGCTGCTGCTGAAGGCAGCAGCTTAACTGGCTGAGCCACAATACCAGCCCTGCAACAAACTATTAAGAGTGTCCCAGAATGCCAGGTTTTCACAGTCCTAAATGAGAACACCTAATTTTGCAGAGGCCATTAGTCCCATAAACAAGAGCTTGGTAGGAGGGGAGCTGGAGCTCTTTCAAAGTAACCAAACATGTAAAGTCTGGTTTCATAAACAAAACTATTGTAGCCAAGGATTTTTCTAATAGAAACCATGTTTTTGGTTCCTAATAGACTCTAAAGAATATTATTAACATTTTGCAAATTGTGTATAAAATGAGCATTTTAAAAACACAATTTTATTGGGCCAGCACTGTGGTGTAGCGGGTTAAGCTGCCGCCTGCAGTACCGGCATCCCATATGGGTGCCAGTTCGAGTCACAGCTGCTCCACTTCTGATCCAGCTCTCTGCTATGGCCTGGGAAAACAGTAGAAGATGGCCCAAGTCCTTGGGCCCCTGCACCCATGTGGGAGACCCAGAAAAAGCTCCTGGTTCCTGGCTTCAGATCAGCCCAGCTCCAGCCACTGCGGCCAGCTGAGGAGTAAACCAGCAGGTGGAAGACCTCCCTCTTTCTCTCTCTCTCTCTCTGCGTCTCCTTCTGTTTTAACATTGACTTTCAAATAAATAAATAAATCTTTAAAGGAAAATACAACCTTATTTTCATCTTTTAAAGAGAGGCACTGCTGTTTCTTTTCAGATTTCTTTTTAGGTGAATCTCTCAATGAATCCATATTACAATTCACATCTTTATCTGAAAAAGAAAAACAGTGATAAAAAAGCTACTTTGAAAGGTGTTATTGATAGAAAGGATACCAAAAAATTAATAAAAATAAACACCATTATGAAATCTTAATACAGGAAAATACAAAATAGGACTTTACATGGAATTTAAAATCTTGTGTCACAATACCAGATTTCAGGACATACTACAGGGCAGTTGTAATCAAAACAGCATGGTACTGGTACAGAAACAGACGGATAGACCAATGGAACAGAATTGAAACACCAGAAATCAACCCAAACATCTACAGCCAACTTATATTTGATCAAGGATCTAAAACCAATTCCTGGAGCAAGGACAGTCTATTCACTAAATGGTGCTGGGAAAACTGGATTTCCACATGCAGAAGCATGAAGCAAGACCCCTACCTTACACCTTACACAAAAATCCACTCAACATGGATTAAAGACCTAAATCTACGACCTGACACCATCAAGTTATTAGAGAACATTGGAGAAACCCTTCAAGATATTGGCACAAGCAAAGAGTTTCTGGAAAAGACCCGGGAGGCACAGGCAGTCAAAGCCAAAATCAACTATTGGGATTGCATCAAATTGAGAAATTTCTGTACTGCAAAAGAAACAGTCAGGAGAGTGAAGAGACAACCGACAGAATGGGAAAAAATATTTGCAAACTATGCAACAGATAAAGGGTTAATAACCAGAATCTACAAAGAGATCAAGAAACTCCACAAAAACAAAACAAACAACCCACTTACGAGATGGGCCAAGGACCTCAATAGACATTTTTCAAAAGAGGAAATCCAAATGGCCAACAGGCACATGAAAAAATGTTCAAGGTCACTAGCAATCAGGGAAATGCAAATCAAAACCACAATGAGGTTTCACCTCACCCCAGTTAGAATGGCCCACATACAAAATCTACCAACAACAGATGCTGGCGAGGATGTGGGGAAAAAGGGACACTAACCCACTGTTGGTGGGAATGCAAACTGGTCAAGCCACTATGGAAGTCAGTCTGGAGATTCCTCAGAAACCTGAAGATAACCCTACTGTTCGACCCAGCCATCCCACTCCTTGGAATTTACCCAAAGGAATTTAAATTGGCAAACACAAAAGCGGTCTGCACCCTAATGTTTATTGCAGCACAATTCACAATAGCCAAGACCTGGAACCAACCTAAATGCCCATCAACGGTAGACTGGATAAAGAAATTATGGGATATGCACTCTTTAGAATACTATACTGCAGTAAAAAACAATGAAATTCGGTCCTTTGCAACAAAATGGAGGAATCTGGAACACATCATGCTGAGTGAAATAAGCCAGTCCCAAAGGGACAAATATCATATGTTCTCCCTGATCAGTGACAACTGACTGAACACCAAAAAGGAAACCTGTTGAAGTGAAATGGACACTATGAGAAATGGTGACTTGATCAGCATAGCCCCGACTGTTAACAACTTAATACATTATCCCCGTTAGTATTTTTTTAATCTGTTCTACTTAATATGACTGGTTTAATTCTGTAATTAATACACAGTTATTCTTAAGTGTTGAAATTTAACTGAAATGTGATCCCTGTTAAACATAAGAGTGGGAATAAGAGAGGGAAGAGATGTACAATTTGGGACATGCTCAAGCTGACTTGCCCCAAATGGTAGAGTTAGAAACATACCAGGGGACTCCAATTCAATCCCATCAAGGTGGCATGTACCAATGCCATCTCACTAGTCCAAGTGATCAATTTCAGTTCAATTGATCATAATGAAAGGACTAAGAGTCAAAGGGAGCACATAAACAAGTCTAGTACCTGCTAACACTAACCGATAGAATAAATAAAGGGGAGAGTGATCCAACATGGGAAGCGAGATACTCAGCAGACTCATAGAATGGCAGATGTCCTAAACAGCACTCTGGCCTCAGAATCAGCCCTAAAGGCATTCTGATCGGGCTGAAAAGCCCACGAGAGTATTTCAGGCATGGAAAGCCAAGACACTCTGGCAAAAAAAAACCAAAACAAAACCTAAATGAAAGATCTCTGTGAGTGAGATCCCAGTGGAAAGAACAGGTCTTCAAAGAAGGAGGTACCTTTCTCTGAAGGGAGGAGAGAACCTCCACTTTTGATTATGACCTTGTCTAAACAAGATAAGAGTCGGAGAACTCAAAAGGCTTCCATAGCCTTGGAAACTCATGACTGGAGCATAGGGAGATTACTGATGCCATAAACAGGAGTGTCAATTTGTAAAGTCAACAACAGGAGTCACTGTGCACTTACTCCTCATGTAGGATCTCTGTCCTTAATGAGACTTAATGCTATAACAAGTACTCAAACAGTATATTTCACTTTGTGTTTCTATGGGGGTGCAAACTGTTGAAATCTTTACTTAATGTATACTAAACTGATCTGTAAAAAAAAAAAAAAAAAGAGAAATTATCAATTCCCAACTTGACTCTCACTGGGATGAAACATGACAATAGGTCTGATCTGATTTCATCATCATTTAAAAATCATCTATTATTTTTCACTTTATGTTTCTGTGTGGGAGCAAACTGTTGAAATCTTTACTTAATGTATGCTAAACTGATCTTCTGTATATAAAGAGAATCGAAAATGAATCTTGATGTGAATGGAAGGGGAGAGGGAGTGGGAAAGGGGAGGGTTGCAGGTGGGAGGGACGTTATGGGGGGGAAGCCATTGTAATCCATAAGCTGTACTTTGGAAATTTATATTCATTAAATAAAAGTTAAAAAAAAAATCTTGTGTCAACCCTGACTGTTAAGAAAAAGGTTCTAAAAATTCCCCTATCAGTTTAATGAAAAATGAAACATAATTTTCCCAACTTAGCAGAGATCTTTTCCAAAGAAGGCAACAGTCTTATCTCCCAACACATAATTACAATGCGACTTTGACTCCCATAGCAAGATGGGATCTACGAGTATTTTACTTTCCCATGAACCTGAGTGGATTCATCAAAGACATGGGAGTGATGCTGCATGACTCTAAGGCTAGATCACAACAAGACTTGCTCTCTTGGACACTCACTGTTGAAACCCAGCCACCAGGTTGGGAGGAGCCCAAGCAACACAAGGCTGCTACAGGTCAGACAACAGCCTCAGCTGAGGTTCCAGCCCAAAGCCAGCATCAACTGCCAGAACCTGACTACACAGTCTTCAGGTGAATCCCAGTGTTTGGTTACCATCAGCCTCTATGTCTTTCCAGCTGAGGCCCAAGACACTGAGAAACAGTGACAAACACTCCTGGGGGCCACTCTGAGGTCCTGATCACAGAATCCAGAGCATTATAAAATGGGGAGATTTGTTGTAACTGGAATACTGACTGTAAGTCAGTTTCAGCCAAGTTCAGGTTCACAACTATGCACATCACTTCTTTTAGGGGTACACAGAACAATAGATACCTGCACTACATGAGCTCTGAAGGACCCATTGTACCTTCTCTGCCCTACTCTTCCTCAAATACGACTCTAGTTCCTTGTCCTCTGATATACAGCCATCTCTCTGCTACACCAGCTCTGTCCTGTGCATCTCACTTTATCATGCAACAGACACAGAGGGCCATCGATCGCTGTAGTGCAGTGAGCTAAAGGCCCGGCCTGCAGTGCTAGCATCCCATATGGGCACCAGTTCTAGTCCAGGCTGCTCCTCTTCCAATTCAGCTCTCTGCTATGGCCTGGGAAAGCAGTACAAGATGGCACAAGTCCCTGGGCCCCTGCACCTGCATGGGAGATCAGAAAAAACTCCTGACTCCTGGCTTCAGCTCAGCTCAGCTCTGGCCATCACAGTCATTTGGGGAGTGAATCAGTGGATGGAAAATCTCTCTCTCTGGCTCTTCCTCTCTCTGTAACTCTTTCATAAATAAAATAAATCTTAAAAAAAAAAAAAGACACAGAAGCTACCAGAAAACAGGATGATGGGCACCTGCATTTGTCCTAGTGGTTATGAGACCCACATCCCACACAGGAGCACCTGGACTTGATTCCTGGCTACAGCTTCTCATTGCAGCTTCTTCCTAATGCAGACCCCAGAAGGCAGTGGGGATGTCTCAAGTAACTGGGTACCTGCCACCTACACGGGAGACCCGGGTTGTGTTCCTGGTTCTCAGCTTCAGCCTGGCTCATCCTTGGCCACTGTGGGTGTTTGGGACGTAAGCTAGCAGATAGAAATTCTCTCTCCCTATACCTTAAAATAAATTTAAAAAAAATTTAAGATGAAAGTAAACAAGCTGAATCTGAATAACCCAGGAGGTATAAAAAATTCTAAAGCACTCTCTTTCAAATATCTTCATCATGGATTGGCGCTGTGGTGTAAAGCCACCACCTGCAGTGCTGGCATCCGATTTGGGCATCGGTTCAAGTCCTGGCTGCTCCACTTCTGATCCAGCTCTCTGCTATGGCCTGGGAAAGCAGAAGATAGTCCAAGTCTTTGAGCCCCTGCACCCATATGGGAGACCAGGAAGAGGCTCAGCTCCTGGAATTGCAGCCCTCTGGGGACTGAACCAGCAGATGGAACACCTGTCTCTCTCCCTCTGCCTCTCTGTAACTCTGCCTTTCAGATAAATAAATAAATCTTAAATAAATCTTCATCAGCTAAGCCTAAATCTGATTTTGAGAAGTGAAAACAATCATTTAGTGAATACTACAGATAATCAAGCTGGGTATTTACAGGTTGTAAAAATTGAGGCATGACTTCCAAGGAAGGGAATCCAACCCCACATCATCTCCTAGGAACCTCCAGAGGCAGTTCCAGCAGTGTTCACTCTAAGTACTAATAAGAAAACCAGCCATTAGACACTAAACTACTGAAACAAAGAGCTAACACGGCAATGTGAGCTGATACCGCATTCTGGTCTGATCCTTCTCTAAGGTACTGTGCAGGCCAGGCATGCGTAGCTGGGGTCTAGAATTACACTACCTGTTTGGGGGTGCAGCATCTCAGCTGAGAACACAAACTCCAATCTGGAGCTGGAGTAGAGGTAGTAGTTGAAATTCACAAAGAGAAAATGTCCACACAAGATCAGCCTTCAAACAAAAAGCACAAAGTAGTGCAGTGCCATCAATACGTGGCAATCAAGAAACAAAGCGTGGGAAGGGAGATTCAGGCCTGAAATAAAATAACGGTCTGAAAGGATTTTTAAAAAGATGTAAAAGTCTGTAAAACTATTTAGAACACCAGCGAGAATAAGGAATAGTATTCATGGAACAAAACAGTTGGATATAAAAAGGCAGGCAAACAAAAAAAATTAGGCAATAAAAAGTCTTTAAACTGAAAACTCAAAAGATAAATACTAGACTGGAAACAAAGAGGATGACATTCAAAAAATTAAGAAAACCTCTCAGAAATCAGTTCATTTAAAGTAAAAGTAAATACAAAATAGAAAAAAAGGAGCTTGGTGGGCACTTAACCTAGCAGTTGAGACACACACATCCATGTCAGCACACCTAGGTCACCTGGCTCTGGCTCTGGCTCCAGCCTCCTGCTAATGCTGACTCTGGGAGGCAGTGGTGACAGCTCCAGTAATCTGATTCCTGCCTCCCACTTAGAAGACTCGGATAGCATCCCAGGCTCCCAGCTTCAACCCCAGTCCAGCCCAGGCATTCTGGGATGTGAAACAGCAAATGCAAGTGTTCTCTCTGCCTCTCAAATAAATAATTTTTCAAAAGAAAAAAGAAGGCTAAGAGAAAAGGATGAGAGATGAAGAAACACTAATCTACAGAAGGAAAGGAGGAAAAAAAATCCGTCAAACATGTTACTAACATCAGGGCCACTGTGGCACAGCAGGCTAAGCTGCTGCCTGTGATGACAGCACTCCCTATGAGTGCCAGTTTGTCCCAGCTGCCCCACTTCTGATCCAGTTCCCTGCTAGTGCTCCTGGGAAAGCAGCTGACCATGGCCCAAGTACCTGGGCCCTTGAAAAACACATGAGACTCAGATGGAGCTCTGGGCTCCGGGCTTTGGCCTGGCCCAGGCCTGGCTACTGCAGCCATTTAGGGCATGAACCAGCAGATGAAGATGTCACTTGTTCTCTCTTCCTCTCTCTGTAACTCTGCCTTTTCAATAAATAATTTTTTTAAAAAAAGTTAACTTCTAATGACACCAAAAGAGACAGATATAAATATGTGTGTGTATGGACACACATACACATCAACTCCTGATTTTCTTTTTAAGATTTATTTATTTATTTAAAACAGTTAGAGAGAGACAGAGAGAGGTCTTCCATCCAATGGTTCACTCCCCAATTGGCCGCAATGGCCGGAGCTGCACCAATCTGAAGCCAGGAAACAGGAGCTTCTTCCAGGTTTCCCACATGGGTGCAGGGGCCCGAGGACTTTGGCCATCTTCTACTGCTATCCCAGACCATAGCAGAAGCTGGATCGGAAGTGGAGCAGCCGGGTCTTGAACCGGCGCCCATATGGGATGCTGGCGCTTCAGGCCAGGGCTTTAACCCGCTGTGTCACAGCGCCGGCCCCAACTCCTGATTTTCAATACATAGAAAAGATAATAGATGTACAGATGTACACACACGCCAAAGACATACATATCCTTGCTTCTGTCCACAGGAGTGCCTCAGAGCAATGGTACCCTAACAACCACACCTGGCTCCCAGATTTTGGCTGAAAAATGCCATTCCCTATGAAAGGAAGCCAGGGCAATTTAGAAGAGCTGCTGATTTCTGTTACAGATAGGAATCCACATTAATATGCTCATGAATACATGAGCAAATACAAGGGACAGAAGTCTTTACATGGTTTCCCAGCACCTGTCTGCAAAGCCCTCACAATGGGCAAGAGCACAGCTTTCAGTGGAGAAGCCCGGCGGGCTCCACCTTCCTCAGTGATACAGTGAACTCCATCAGGAACAGGGCCAAGGGAAACCCTGCGTCGTCTGGCAGGACGGGACGGGATGAACAGCCCAAGGCAAGGCTGAAGGACACGGCGCGCAGTCAGGTAAGGCATCAGGAAGGACCGGGGAACAGCTCCCGACGGCACAGCACTCAGGAGACGATCACAAAGCAGTTCAGTGGCGCTAACCCGCATCCCTCCACTATCAGCAGAATCTGACTGGGGTCTGAGGGTTACAGGGTCACACGGGTGCCTGCTACCACTCCATTCCGCTTTTGATGGCTGTTGTGGATATTTGGGGGAATGTCCTTGTCTGATGAAGAAACACTCAGGTATTAGGGAACGATGGACATTAAGGCAGCAACTTTTTTTTTAGTGGTTTTGGGAAAAACACTCTTTACAATGTTCTCCAACTTTTTAGAATGTCTGGGATTATTCTAAAAATACTTCTACTGAGAAGATGGATGCAAACTCCGCAGAAGCAGATGAATCGCCAGAATAGCACCTGACTTAGAGTAAGTGCTTCATAAAGGTCTTTAGAAGGAATGACTGTGGACAGGGGTACGGGAGCTCATCTGTCACAGAAATCATGACCATGTCTACAGCTGACAAGCCTCAAAACAGTAAAAAATACACATATGTAATTATTTTTAAAGTTCAGAATTAAATATCAAAATAAAGAGCTTTAAAATAAAAAGGTTTATGTCTGGGGAGCAACCTAGGATGAGACAAGTATGAACAGGAGGGGCCAGTGCTATGGCGCAGTGGGTTAAAGCCCTGCCCTGAAGCACCAGCATCCCATATGGGCGCCGGTTCTAGTCCTGGCTGCTCCTCTTCCAATCCAGCTCTCTGTTATGGCCTGGGATATCAGAAGATGGCCCAAGTGCTTGGGCCCCTGCACCCACGTGGGAAACCTGGAAGAAGCTCCTGGCTCTTGGCTTTGGATTGGCGTAGCTCTAGCCATTGCGGCCATCTGGAGAGTGAACAAGTGGATGGAAGACCTCTCTGTCTGTAACTCTGTCTTTCAAATAAAAAAAAAAAATAAATCTTCCCAAAAAAAAGTATGAACAGGAGAAAATCACTTTCCATGACAGCCATTTTATGCTATTTGTTTGACCAACCATTAGCAAAGCATTACTCTTTGGTTTTAAAAAATATATGTAATGTAGAATGGGCATTTGGCCTAGCAACTGACGTTCATGTTTCATATTGTGGTGCCTAGGTTCAATGCCTGACTTAGGCTCCCGACTCCAGCTTCCTGCTAATGCAGACCCTGAGAGACAGCAGCGATGGCTTTAGTGATCAGGGTCCTGCTACACATGTCAGAGACTTGGACTGAGTTCCTGGCTCCTGACTTCAGCACCCCCCAACCTGGCCCTGGGCTGTTACAGGCACATGGAGACAACACATGGGGGCAAGCTCTCTCCCTTCCTGCCCTTTCTGTCTCTCAAATAACTTAATTTTTAAAAATTAAAATAAAATTATATAAGGCAATTTCAAAGAGAAATAGCAAAAATTAATTGAAATACAGTTAAAATAGCTTTTTACAAGGATTAAAGGAAAATAATTACATGCATAAACAACATCTAACAATTTTGCTTTTTTACATAACCATCTAGTCATACTTCACATCAGCTTTTGTTGGTTCACTATAACATTTTCCTTTTCAAAGATATGCATGAGAGGCCAGCATTATGGCACAGCAGATTAAGCAGCCACTTGTAAGGTATGAACCATGTATATTTTTTAAAAAGATTTATTTATTTATTCGAAAGGGAGAGAGAGAGAGAGGTTTTCCACTTGCTAGTTCAGTTCCCAAATGGCCACAACATCTGAGACTTGCCCAGGCTGAAGCCAGGAGCCTGTAACTCCATCTGCGTCTCCCATGTGGGTACAGGGGCCCACATACTTGGGTCATCTTCTGATTCCACAGTTTTCCAAGGTACATTAGCAGGGAACTGGATCTAAAGCAAAGGAACAGGATTCAAACAAGCACTACGACACAAGATGTGCGCGTTGCAAGTGGCTGCACATTTCATTCTACCTTTCAAATAGATTAATAAAAACTTTAAAAAAAAAAAAAAGAAAGAAGCCAACAGATTTCACCCTGGTGCAACATTCTAATTCATCAAATATCTACACAAGATATGAAATCAAAGACTGGTGATCTCTGCCCTCCTCAGTGTGTCTTCCTTGCCTGTACACGCTTGATTGCTTGAAAGAAAACTCAGCCACAAAAGCATATGTACAGCCTGAGAACACACCACTGGCCTAGGCCAGGCTGAGAAAAATCCGTACCACACACAGACAAGCTCTAAGGATGCACCATAGGGCCAGTTACCACTGACAGCACCTATGTCACAAACTGGCTCCACTAGAGAGCGAGCGAGCGAGCAAGCGCGAGAGCGCGAGAAGCTACCACAGCCCCTCTAAACAACCTTCATAAGCTTTAGACAGATAAGAGTATTCTCTTACTCTGCCTATGAAATAAGCCAAAGTAGCAGAACTCACCCAGCACTGCAGCAGTTGGCTCCAGGTCACCAACAACATCCTTGCACCTCGTATGCTGCAGAGAATGTGTCAGCAAATTTAAACCATGAGAATCTGATCAAAAGAACAAATTTTAGGATTAAAGCTTGAAATAAAACTCCAAATTACATGATTTCTGTTCTTATTGGTGCTTTAAAGAACAAAATACCTGGGTGGGGACAGGAATGTGAGTGACATTTAAAAAATCATTTCCACAGTCTACAACTGCCCCTTCTTCATACCTTATAGAAAAATACATTTTAAATAAATAACTCTTTAAAAAAAGATTTATTTGAGAGGTAGAATTACAGACAGAAGAAGAGACAGAGAAAAGTCTTCCATCTGCTGGTTCACTCTGCAAATGGCTCCAACAGCCAGAGCTGGGCCGATCCGAAGCCAGGAACCAGGAGGCTTTTCCGAGTTTCCCACATGGGTGCAGGGGCCCAAACAATTGGGCCATCTTGTGCTGCCTTCTCATATGCATTAGCAGGAAGCTGGGTCACCAAGACTTGAATTGGCACTCTGTGTCACAAGCAGCCACTCAACCCACTCCACTACACCACAACACTGCCCCCAGTTTTAGACGTTTTGTTTATTTGAAAGGCAGAGTACAGGGGACAAAGAGAGACAAAGAGAGAGATCTTCTATCTGTTGACTCACTATCCAAAGGATATTCCTTTTGCTGATTTAAAGTCACTGAAAAGTGGATTTTCCTCAAATTGAGTTTCACAGCTAAAACAGATTGCAATTTCGAGGTTGCAATTTCCTTAGAACTGATGAATATTTGAGCAAAGTTAAAGATGTTCATCTAATAAATTGATTGCTGTGAGGTACAGGCTAAGACTGCCATCCACATGGGAGACCCTGATGGAGTTCCAGGTTCCTGATTTTGGCCCGGCCCAGCTCTGATTGTTGTGGCCATTTGGGAAGTGAACCAGTGAATGGAAGATCTCTTTACTTTTTATTTACTTTTTTAAGATTTATTTTATTTATTTGAAAGAGTTACACAGAGAGAGAAGGAGAGGCAGAGAGAGAGAGAGGCCTTCCAATCGCTGGCTCACTCCCCAAATGGCAGCAATGGCTGGAGCTGTGCTATCCGAATGAAGCCAGGAGCCTCCTCCGGGTCTTCCCACGTGGGTGCAGGGGCCCAAGGACTTGGGCCATCCTCTACTGCTTTCCCAGGCCACAGCAGAGAGCTGGATTGGAAGAGGAGCTGCCGGGACTTGAACTGGCACCCATATGGGATGCTGGCACTGCAGGTGGCGGCTTTACTCACTACACCACAGCGCCGGCCCCAGAAGATCTTTTTCAACTCTCCTTCTCCATCACTCTGCCTTTCAAATAAATAAATATTTTTTTTAAAGTGTGTTTAAAACTTATTCAAAAACTTACTTTGCAAATAACTTTAAGCTGCAGACATCTGGACTTCTGAAAACATAATGTTAACAAGAAACCAGAATTGTTTCGTCCTGGTCTCACGTAAACAAACTGTAGCAGTTTCAGGACCTTAAAACCTATCTCAGACTCATCAGGATTAAACTTTAAACAGTCCAAGTCTTTGTCTCCACATGGGGAAAAGTTGGCACAATAACTCCTATCAATACAGTAAGGTCGTGAACAATCTGAGAGAAATACAAGTTGGTCAGAGAATTCACTCACCTTCCATTCTTTGGAAATATTTTCCTTGCAAAAACATTGGCCAAAGAGTAAGAGCTGGGTTGAGTTTCTTGGAGGAGGCTGAGTTCATATTTAATCTTGGTTTCTCTACAGAATCCAGCTGCTGCTTCTCCATGGGTGACACATAACAAGCAAAATTCTTTGCAACCAGGTCGTCATTAACACAAACCTGCAGATGCGACACATTTCATGAAGGGTAAGACAGGATGGTCACATGACTGAAGAAAGCATTTCAGACTCAACTCAAGAGGACTTTACAGAACACAACATGGTAAAAGCTGATCTCAGGACTTCTGTTGTGGTAATGGTGAACTGAATACTTCTCACCGATCCTCCTGCTAAGAAAACAGCAATGATCTGTGTGAAATACAATCCTCGAAAGGCACTAGAGAGCCAACACCACCCAGCCAGGCAGAGATCTGGTGGGAAAACAAGGACAAAGCATTAACCATAAAAGGAAGACTGACAAATGAGATTTGATCAAAACGAAAACTCTGCTCTTCCAAAGACAGTGACAAGATGGGGCAAAACATTTTAAAACCAGGTGCCTGAATAGACATGTACCTAGAATAAATACAGAGAGAACATGTATCTCTCTGAAACTCAATGAAAAGAGAACTACCCAATTAAAAACGGGCAAAAGATCTCAATGTCACTAAAGACGACAGAGGATGGCAAAAAAGGATGTGAAAACATTTTTTGTTTTTGGGGAAAGGCAAACTTAAACCACCGGGAGCCACCACTACTCATCTTTCAGAACAAGCACAGAGCATCAGAAAGGAAGTGGAGAGGGGCAGTCGTCGCTGTGCAGTGGATTAAGCGCTGTGGCATCCTGTATCAGAGTGCCAGCTCAAGTCCTGGCTCCTCCGCTTCCAAACCAGTTTCCTGCTAATGTGCCGGGGAAGGCAGCAGAGGATGACCCTCATGTCCCTGCCACCCATGTAAGAGACCTGGACAAAGTTCCAGGTTGCTGGCATCAGCTTGGCCCAGTCCTGACTGTTGTAACCACTTGGTGGAGTGAATCAGTGGAGGATCTCTCTCCCTCTCTACTACTCTTCCTCTCAAATACATAAATAAATCTCCTCCTCCTCCCTCTTTCATTACCAGTCCCATTCTCCACTGAAATCCAGTTTGATTAACTTTATGCACAGAAGATCAACTCTGTATTAAGTAAAGAGTTCAACAATTGGAACAACCACAACAAAACAAAAACTGTTCCTCAACAGTCCAGACAAGGGCTTTTTCAAAGTCTTCGTATCTTGAAGTTAATTTCATTTTATTTTTAGAAATTTAGTAACTTTAAAAAAGCACCCAAGAATGATATGTCTCTTGTGAGCACTCAGACATAATTATAACTCTTTGAGGACAGAGGTCCTGCATGGGAAGTTAGTGCACAGTGATTCCTGTAGTTAATTTAACAATTAACACTCTTATGTATAACATCAGTGATCACCCAAGGCTCTTGACATGAGCTGCCTAGGCTTTGGAGCCTGTTGAATCCACAAACTCCATCAGTATTTAGACAAGGCCATCAGCAAAGGAGTTCTCTCCTCCCTTCATAGAAAAGTACCTCTTTCTTTGATAACTACTTCTTTCCACTGGGATCTGACCTACCGAGGTCCTTCACGTAGGACATTTTTGCCACAGTGTCTCGGCTTTCCATGCCTGAAATGCTCCTGTGGGCTTTTCAGCCAGACCAGAATGCCTTAAAGGCTGATTCTGAGGTCAGAATGCTACTTAAAGTGACTGTCATTCAATCAGTCTGCTGTGTGGACTGCTTCTCATGTTGGAGCATTTACTCCTTATTAATTTCATCTATTATTATTACGAGACAGTTAAATTGTATCCAATCACTTTAACATTTAAGATGGTATTTTTATCACCAAGCTTAAGGGGATTTGGGGTCCCATGGCAAGTTTTTAAACTGTACCCTTAGAAGTAAGCTGTATAATAAGATAATCGAAAATGAATCTTGATGTGAATGGAAGGGGAGAGGGAGTGGGAAAGGGGAGGGTTGTGGGTGGGAGGGACGGTATGGGGGGGAAAGCCATTGTAACCCACGAGTCATACTTTGGAAATTTATATTCATTAAATAAAAGATAAAAAAAAAAAAAAAAGAAGTAAGCTTAGGGCCGGCGCCGTGGCTCAATAGGCTAATCTTCCGCCTAGTGGCACCGGCACACCAGGTTCTAGTCCCGGTCGGGGCGCTAGATTCTGTCCCGGTTGCCCCTCTTCCAGGCCAGATCTCTGCTGTGGCCAGGGAGTGCAGTGGAGGATGGCCCAAGTGCTTGGGCCCTGCACCAGCATAGGAGACCAGGAGAAGCACCTGGCTCCTGCCTTCGGATCAGCGCGATGCGCCAGCCACAGCGGCCATTGGAGGGTGAACCAACGGCGAAAGGAAGACCTTTCTCTCTGTCTCTCTCTCTCTCACTGTCCACTCTGCCTGTCCAAAAAAAAAAAAAAAAAAAGTAAGCTTAGGGGCTGGCGATGTGGCATAGGAGGTAAAGTTGTGGCCCACAGTGTGGGCATCCTATATGAGCACTGGTTTGAGTCCCTGCTGCTCCACTTCTGATCCAGCTCTCTGCTATGGCCTGGGATAGCAGTGGAAGATGGCTCAAGCCTTTGGGCCCCTGCACCCATGTGGGAGACCTGCAAGAAGCTCCTGGCTTCAGATCAGTTCAGTTCCAGCCATTGTGGCCATCTGGGGAGTGAACCAGCAGATGTAAGACACTCTCTCTCTCTCTCTGTCAATTACACTTCAACTGATTGTCTTTTAGGTGCTTTGTTAATTATCACAGATCAGGGAGGGGGGGAGAGGGAGGAGGGAGGAGGGAGTCTTCCATCTGCTGGAGGGAGGAGGGAGGAGAGAGGAGGGAGGAGGGAGTCTTCCATCTGCTGATTCACTCCCCAATTGGTCACAATGGCCAGAGCTGTGCTGATCCACTCCCCAATTGGTCACAATGGCCAGAGCTGTGCTGATCCACTCCCCAGTTGGCTGCAATGGCCAGAGCTGTGCCAATCTGAAGCCAGGAGCCAGAAGCTTCTTTAGGGTCTCCCACGTGGGTGCAGGAGCCCAAATACTTGGTCCACTTTCTGCTGCTTTCCCAAGCCATGGCAGAGAGCTGGATCAGAATTGGAGCAGCTGGGACTGAACCAGCACTCACATGGGATGCAGGCACTGCTGGCGGCAGCTTTACATGCTACAGCACAGCGATGGCCCCTCCAGAAATTTTTTTTTTATTTCTCTTTCTGGATTTCTTCAATGACCCACTGTTCATTCAGGAGCATGCTGTTCAGTCTCTATGTGTTTGCATATGTTCTAGAGATTTCTGAGTTGCTGATTTCCAGCTTTTCTGCATTGTGGTCTGAGAAGATGCATGATATGATTTCAATGTTTTTCAATTTGCTGACTTGCTTTATGGCCTAGCATGTGGTCAATCCTGGAGAAAGTTCATGTACTGGTGAGAATAATGTGTATTCTGCAACTGTAGGTTGAAAAGATCTATGGGTATCTGTTAGTTCCATTTGCTCTATATTGTCAATTAACTGTTTCCTTGCTGATTTTCTGTCTGGTGATCTGTCCATTGCTGAAAGGGAGTTTTGAAGTCCCCCATTATTACTGTATTGTCTCCTTTTAGATTCCTTAACATTTTTTTAAATAGCAATGGCCCTGTAATTAGGTGCATATATGTTTTTAACAGTTCATCTTCCTGTTTAATTGATCCCTTAATCATTACATAGGGACCTTCTTTGTCTCCTAGCAGCTTCTGTGTTAAATTCTATTTTGTCAGATGTTAGGATGGCTATACCAGCTCTTTTGTGGTTCTGTTAGCATGGAATATCTTTTTCCAATCTTTCACTTTCAGTTCACATGCATCCTTGTTGGTGAAATGTGTTTCTTGTAGGCAACAAATACAAAACATTCTGCCAATCTGTGCCCTTTAACTGAAGAGTTGAGTCCATTTACATTCAAAGTGACTATTGATAAGCAAAAATTTCACCCTGCCATTTTCCCATAAATACTCCTATTGTTTCCTTTGGATTTCCTTTGTATTTTTACTGAAAGATTTTCTGCCTTCATCTTCTTTCACAGTTATACCCATGTTTCTGTGTTTCTGTGTGTAGCACATCTTTAAGCATCTTTTGCAAAGCTGGACAGGTGGTGACAAATTCTTTCAATTTCTGTTATGGAAGGTCTTTATTTCACCTTCATTTTAAATGACAGCTTTGCAGGGTACAGTATTATGGGTTGACAGTTTTTTTTCCTCTTAAGCCTTGGAATTTATCTCATCATTTCTCTCCTAGCCTGTAGGGTTTCTGATGGTAAGGTTGCTGTGAGTCTAATTGGAGATCCTCTGAAATTTCTCTCATGTACATTTTACAATCTTTTCCTTATGTTTTACTTGGGAGAGTTTGATTACAATGTGTCATGGTGAAGATCTTTTCTGGTCATGTCTAATTAGCTCTATGTGCTTCCTGTACTTGGATGTCCCTTTCTCCAAATTGGGGATGTTTTCTGTTATTATTTCACCAAAAAGGCCTTCTAATCCTTTCTCTTTTTCCACACCTTCAGGAACTCCTAGAACCCATATGTTGGGTCATTTGATAGGATCCTTAAGATTCCCAACAATGCTTTTTAGTTTTCCAATTTCTTCTCACTTTTGACATGACTGTATAATTTCCTGCAATTTGTCTTCTAAAGTCAGATATTCTTTCTTCTGCTTCATCGATTCTGTTGTTAAGGCTTTCCACTGCATTTTTTATTTGTTCATTCAATTCTTTATTTCCAAAATTTCATCTTGCTTTAAGATCTCAATTTCGTGGGATAAATATTCTTTCACATCATGTATGGATTTCATTAGTTCGTGCATTTGCTTCTGATAACTTCTAAGTAATCCTACGATCAATTTTTTTTAATTCTCTTTCTGGCATTTCTTCAATCTCTTCATCTTCACAATCTAGTATTGAAGTGTTATGATCTTCTGAGGGCATCATGTTGTCTTCCTTATTCTTGTTTCTTGAATTGGTGCATTTATTTGGCATTTCTTAAGATTAACTCATTGATTTCTTCGTTTTTAGCTGTGGTGGCTTTTATCTTTGGACTATGCCTCTGTGGATTAGTGGAGTATTTTTTTCAGCAGATACCTAGAGGCACAAGGTGGGTATGGC